GGAGTAGAATCAGCCGTCATTATTAACAGTAACACTCTTCCTCCTAATTATTTCCTAGTAAAAGTTCTCCAGTTATCATCCATCAATGTTTCAGGAAGCATGGAGTCCACAAATAGCTTTCCATTAAGGTGATCAACCTCGTGTTGAATCAATCTTGCAGGCCATCCATTAATCCTCCACATGACCGGCCGAGCTTCTCCATCAAGTGCAGAAACTTCGATTTCTTTTGCTCGAGGAACGAGAGCTGAATAGCCTTTAAAGCTAACACAGTTCTCGCGTAATGTTACTGAAGTAGAATCAATTATTTTGTACTTAGGGTTGATTAGAACTGTAGGAGGAATCTTCCAAAAGTTTTGATGTCTCGATCGGTTACTTCTGCTTCCTTTAACTCTTTGATTTGCTTAGCGGTTTTCTCAAGAGCAATCACTCGAAGTCTTACTCCAATCTGTGGTGCAGAGATAGAAGAAACGTTAGCTTTTCTCATAACTTTGAACATTCGCTCTATCATCTGCTTGAACTCGGGAGAACGAATAGTTGTGATGTCCACATTCTCTGCTTGTTGTCGAAGGGTAGGATCGCCGATTTGTCGAGCTTGTAGGCTGTCTAGTGTGAGGAATTTTCTGATTGAGTTAGGAACCCATTTTGAAACTTGTCGAGCTTTGATGAGATGTTGAACGTAAAAAGATCCTACCAGAGAAAGTTTTGTGGGAGAAAGAACCATAACTTCGTGATAAATGCATCGATGAAAGTTGCAAGGGCTTTCTTTAAGTCAGCGGTTTTACTTTGTCTTCGTAATGTATGTTATGTATGGGTATATACAATGTACTCCTATGATCTAAGTGGGCCTATAACTCTCTTTTTTTCTCCTCAATTGTTTTCAAAATGGAACTAGGGTCTGGGTGGCCTGGTTGGAGTGTGATTTGGGAATAACTATTTTAAGGGACCGGGGAACAGTACATATCAAGGCGAGCAATCATAATTGAGTGATTCCAACACCTTTTATGAGTAAGAGATAAACAGCCTTACACTTCAACTGTTATGAATGAAAAATATGAGCAAATTAAATGAAGTTACTTTGAACTTGAGAGTTGCTACCTATCTTGGAAATTCCATGGAAGCCATTTGGGGGGTGGACAACCTTTTGATTGACAGAACCACCAAAACATCTTTTTTCCACCCATTTGCAGAGGAGGGTGTGATCAATGACACATTTTAGTTTGGTGTGAAGGACACCAGTTTCTCTCCAGTGAAGTGAACAATAATTCTTTGCAAAAAGGAGGGGGATTTTTCATTTGTTGCAAAAGCACTGAACAATTGCATAACAATAATTCAACGAGGTCTTCTCCCTCAGGAGACCACCTCCAGTTAACTAGTACTGAAGCGATAAAATCCACCAGGTTGCTCCTTCTCCTAAGCAGAGGGGCTTCAAAACATGGGAGAAAGAAAAGCTGGAAAACAGATACTTGAATGATAAATCATGGACAATGAATGACAGAAAACAAAAACTGTGTTAAGAAATGGCTACATGACAGTGAAAACCCTAATTTGTTTTTAAAATGTATTTAGTTGGATATCTCCTAAAACTTTTAAAAAAGGGTTGGGGAAGAACTGAAAAATATGCTCAAATGGGGACAGTCTTCCATGTTGCACATATGGGTAATGCATCTTGGATGGTTTTGTTGTTACACCCATGATACATCTGGGTGTTGATTGCAGGCACCTTTTGTACCATGTAAACTACTGCCTTCACAAACAGGAATACAAGAGAAAGTACAGTTTCATAATTTACAGCTGTTGATGGATGTGCTGAAGCATAATTGATGTTTAAGTTCTCAGAAGTTTTGCCAAGTTGTTCTGTATAAACCTATGAGTTACCATTGAGTTCTGCATAAAGATGAAAACTCTACCCTTCACAGGTGCAGGTTCCTACTCCCATGGGTCTTACACAACCCACAGCCATAAATCAAACAGCTGTAAATGAGCTCTAAAATATGCTCTGGTATGAACTGCAAAACCAGCAAGAGCCCTAACACACATATCCCTCCCTGTTTCTAATGATTTTGCCCCTAGTACTGCAGTGCCCATGAGGGCATGCTAACTGCAACTGTGATATTTTTTTGCTTGTCATTGGAAACTGAGCACAGAGAGAATCACATGGAATAGCTCCCTGCTGACGAGAGAAGACTACAGCACATAACCACTCAACAGCAACACATGAACATGCTTCCTTTAATTCATAGTCTGTGTGACACAATGTCAGAGGAAAACAAATCAGAAGGGGATTGAATCTACTATGTTGTGTATAAGCACAACTCCATCAGGTGATATTCTGCTGAACCCTGGTCTAGTAAGGGGGGGGAGGGCATACTCACATTGCTCTTTACATACTTTTACATACTTATGTCCTGATATCTGTATTATTTCTTGGTGTAATTTCTCCAATCGTTCTTTTGAAACGATTTATAAAGCATGGAGTCAATAAAGAGATTTCCATTTAAGTGATCAACCTCGTGCTGTATGATTCTCGCTGGCCATCCCATAGTTCTCCACGTGACTGGTCGAGCTTCTGTATCAAGCGCAGAAACTTCGATCTCTTTGGCCCGAGGAACAACCGCTGAATAACCTTCAACACTTAAACACCCCTCACGGAACGCAAGCAGAGTTTGGTCGATTGTTTTGTACTCAGGATTGATAAAAACTTTCGGTGGGACCAAAGCAATCCCAAGACGTTTTAGTTCTTTGTCCGTTGCTCCTTTGTCTTTTAACATTTTGATGTGTTTTCCAGTAAACTCGACCACGATTACGCGAAGTCCAACTCCAATCTGTGGCGCAGCGATGCCAAAACCTTCTGCCTTTCTCATGACCCTGAACATTCGCTCAATCATTTGTTTGAATTCGGGAGAATGTATAGTTGTGATGTCCACTGTCTCTGCTTCCTCGCGTAATATTGGATCGCCTATTTGTCGCGCTTGCAGGCTGTCAATATTTAGGAGTGTTCTGATCGAGCTAGGAATCCACTTTGAAACTTGGCGAGCTTTGGGAAGAATATATGCACGAGAACCACATAACTTAGGTAATTTTAAGGGAGAGAGGGCCATATTTTGGAGATAAAGTCAACGAACTTTTCCTCTCCTCATTGTCAGCGGTTTCTTCCTGAGCAGGAACACTAATCGGACACAGGTAAGGACAGGGTTGCGGAGAAGTTTCTTTTAGGGCCTGTTAATACTGAACTGAGCCGGTTCCTCAAATTCCCCCACTAAATCTTGTTTAAAACAGTACTTTCTATTTAATTGAGTAAAACTGGTGAAGATGTCTTCAAAATGTCTATAATTGAGGGGTGAAAAATGGTGGCAAGGTAGGTCAAAGGAAACCACTGTACCTCCCTCCCTAGAGGAATGATGATATTTGCAAGCTGCGCCCCTCCCCCACACGGATCTATTGTGATTTGTTGATGCTCGTCGATGGGATCAAAACATGGCGACACATCCTTCGACGTTTTACGCGCTAAGTGATGTTATGCTACCTGAGAGAGTTGTCCTCTGGGACGAGACTGAGGTGGCTAAAAAGCAGATAGAACAAGTCGGTGCATCGGCTTGTGGAGCTACAGCAGTTTTAAATGTTCTGGTAAAGTAGTTTAATTGTGCATCTGTAGAGTATGTTTAATATGCGAATACCAGTGTATGTGAGAGCACCTAGTTGCCTTGCATGTAGACAGGACATGCCTCGCTAGTAAAGTCATTTTGTTGGATTTCAAAGCTGGTATTTGCTAAAACTGAGCCTTTGAAAATAATAGTACCCTTTTTACCCTCAATCAAAATAAGGGCACCTGCGTGCGTGACCTTAACGATGAAACGAAAAAAACGCCTTGTCGCTCTCTTCAGATTGTTTTCGGCCAGAAAGGACAATGCCAATCATTGCACTTCAGTTGAAAAATTTTACAAATATATGTTACAATAAATGGCAACAATATGTATCTGTTATTTCTCAATCAAATCGTCTGCCATTTCATAGGAGATCGTGTTTCAGCCGAGTTGCATCGGAGAAGCGATCGAGAGAAAAAAATGGTGCCCTATACTTCAGGTTAACTTTTCAAAATGTAAAGTACAAAATCACCTGCTGCACGGGAAATTAGCTGGGCTAAAAAACTGTAAAAATAGGGTAATAACTGAATGATGCCACTCCTAACGCCTTACACCTTGCTTCTAGAAATTGCTTGGAAGATCTGCATCAGTGGATGAGGCAAATAATGCAGTAAAAACCAAGCTAAGAGATCTTGAAGCTCCTTTACCACAATATCTTTCGTCTCGTAGTGTTGCGGGAACAACACATATAGATCTCATCGAGGGCCTAGGAAAACTAACCTGTGGAGAAATTGTTGGGCAGTTCTTTCACATGTACCCTGAACGTGACTTTGACTTAGAAAATTGGCTGAAATATTGGCTCGTACATGGTGCCATACCTGTAGCAACCTTAAATCGTCAAAAGGTTCCTTTGACTGATGGAACAATACCAGATGCTTGGCATCATCAAGTTATTTGTGGTGTGAGCAGCAATGGGGCTCATCTTACTAATCCAGAGGCAGTGTGCCCCTTTAATGAAATATCTAAACAGCTTTGCAGTGAATCTGTTCTTCTCATTCACCGGCACGACATCATACAGAGATGGAGTAACAATATTGACTATTCTTCTTGGAACTCTGATGGAATAAATCAAAGGTGGATTGAATTGAAAGTCCAAGAGCAGATTAATCGCATGGTAAAAGAAGAAACACTTCTTCTACTTCATGGAAGTGAAATTAAACACAGAGAGCTGTTAACAACACACATCACAATTCCTGCTGCATACAAATCAGGGATTACTCTGTTTGCTCTAAGGGATTCTAGGACACATCGACTATTAGAAAACAGCACTGAACTTCCTATTAAGCTTATCAATCAGAGAAAAGATATTGAAGAACAGTACTCTGGAGGGCAGATAAATCTGAGCATCAATGTATAATGTAAGATGGAAACTAAATATTAGGAAAAAAGACAAACACCAATGTGGGGTGTGACTGTAGACTGTTGCTCGAGTGTTAACAAGAAAAAATATATTAACAAAGACATTAATGATAATAAAATAATGACAGAAGTTGTGGACCATAGCACAATTTGAAGCTGTCGATAAATGCTGGTAGTTTTTGTCAATGTACTCATTTATTATCATTATTATTCAGTAAGGGTAATATTTATTACCAAAGCTGTTGATGCAGAAGTTAAAATTTTTAAATAACATGCTCTGTTGAAGTACAAATTAGAAATTAATTTAAATATTGGTGATTTGATAAAGGCATTTAAAGTTTGTGATTTAAAATGTTGATTTTAAGATAGCAAACTGCTGCTTAAATTAATCAAGTAGCATTAAAATTAATTAACATTGTATTATAATTTACTACCTCTTTCCGGCGTACTAACTTTGGAATGTGGGATGCACATCTTTGCTGCATTAATTTCTTTTTTTTCACAATTTCCTGGGGGAGTATGCCCCACAATGGCACCTTACTCGTGTTATGTTGCTGGCAAATAAACTTGGATATTTACAAATGTATATATACATTTTGTGTTGAAGGTCATGCTAGAAAAAAATATATGTCGACATACAGAGAGATTGAAATAAAGATAGTTGCTTTAGAGTTCAACTTGTCAAAGCTGTGACCCCAATTATGTGTGAGCACAGTCTCCTGTTTGTAAAAGCGAGGGATGAGAGGTTAAAACATTCTGGAATTGAGTCACCTTGAGCCCTAAATCAAGGGCAGTTATTATCTAATGAAACCCGAGCTGTCAGAAATTAGCCCAGTCTCGTCCCTTTTTCGTTTTCTTTCTTGCCCTTTCTCTTCTCGGTAATCATTTCTCAACGACAGAGGGAGCCCTGCTTGGACTGTCAATCGCCCTCGTTACTTTGCTAGAATGAGATTTGGCCAGCGGTATTTCTCTTAGTTGTTTTGTATGTTGTTTAGTTTTCGTCAGAAGGCATTTGGATGAAAAGACAACAGAGATGTTGGAGTGGGTCATTATTGCAGCTCTCGCCTGTGTATCGAGCCTTTTTCTCATTGACATTTTGAATACGAAGAAAACTGAAATTAACGGAACTCATGCTGTGGTAAGATTTGAAACTGTTTCTGCAAATTTCGACGGAAACTCTGGAAACGAGAATGAACAGATCGCAAAAGTTGAATTTATTGTGGTGAGTGTTTTGTCTTCTGTTTGTTTCAGGTTACTGGTGGGTCAAGTGGAATTGGAAAGGCTTTAGCGATAAAACTGGCCAAATGTGGAGCCAACGTGACAATTATCGCTCGAAATATGGTAAGGTTTATGTATTTTTCGTCTTCGATCATAACTTGCGTTCACGTGGTCAATCCATGCTGATCATCATATGACTAGTGTACTCTCAGTTCGCGTCAGTAACGTGGGGTTTCTCATAAGTATATATTATAGAGAGTGACATCGGAAAATAAATAATTGGTTACGTTCCTATCATGATACCAAATGCTACAGGAAATTTAGCTCAGCCCAGACACTGCACCCCTCCAGAGGACCACACCCCATCCCTCTCAAGAACAACTTTTCATTACAGGCTTAGCTGCATTAGTGACAAAACGATTGAGACACCTATTTTTCTGAATTTTGGGTTAGTTGTACCTCTCACCCTTTAGATTCTACCCCAGTCACCCTAATTCGCAAATGATGTGCTGTCTGTCTATCACCAAGAGTTTTTTTTTTCTTTCTAAACATTGAATAGAGCAAGGGGTAAGGTATACAAGAAGCAGTTGTTGTGGAAAAAAGGATGGAAAGATGATTGTTTTTACAACTGTCTTTTATTCAAGAAATTCTTTATCCTCTCTTGTTGCTTATTGTAGAGGGGGGTAGGGTGGGTGAAGGGTGTGTATATCACCTCTCTCTAACGTGAAAGAGTGGAAACAAATTTATTGACCCTTTAACCCCTAAGGGTGACTAGCATCTAATTTTTCCTTACAATATCACCCCTGAATCCCTCATCAAAGTCAATTAAGAAAAAAGAAAATGACCACTAACAAAAAAAGCTCTTGATTGTTAAACAAATTCTCTATGTCAGCACCCTTGGAAATGTATGGAGAACAGTATAGAGAATATGCATACTGATGTTAGGGTGGAAAGGGTCAAGGTTACCAACTTGCTATACCCCCTAATACCTCTAAAATGCTAGTTGAGGGACCTATTTTGGAAATCATCCCTTGTTTCAGGCTAAATTATATTCCAGGAGTTATAATGCATGTCAATGATTAATATCCTGGTGGTGCTCCATCACTTGCAACTGGATGGCAGGAAGAAATTAAGAATTTCCCAGTGGGAGGTGGGGGGGGGAAGCCTTGATCTTCCTTGGATCTAAAAGAACTTATGAGGCCCTCAGAGCTACCCAGTTGCTTAGATAAACTACCTATCTTGGCTATATCCTGGCAATTCTGTACTTTCTCCAAAATTAATGTGAATGTTTTGTGAACTTGTTTCTCTACTCTAAAATCTTGATTTCTCTGTTACTGATTGATGAGAGTGTAACTATTTATTTTGAATTACTTCCCATTCCAGAGTAGACTAGAGGAAACATTAAAAGAAGTGAAGAAACATCTAGCTCCAGAGAGGAAGGTACAATAATCTTTCCACTTGCTAGAATTAATCTCTAATTTGGAAGACTTGCTTTGTGTGTCAGATGCTGATGAACATATCACTTGAACTTTTTTTAACTGCTTTATTCATGAAAGTCTGTACTCCAATTCAGGTCTTAGCTTTGTCTGTAGATCTTACTACTAATGCAGAAGATGTAGAGAATACTTTAGATCAGGTAGGTGCATCCTCTTTCAGATAAAAGAAAAAAATATAACATTAAAATAAATGACTTTTCTCATAGACTACTTTTCTTCTTTTAAACTACTGGTAGGTTACCTTGACTCTCAGAGACATGGGATACATTTGCATTCTGATATTATTTGTGTCTATGAATAAACACAGAACAGACACTTCCCTTAATCTCTATTTAATATTGAACCAATTCAACAATTGAAAAATTTCTATTAAAAAGATGTTGCTGTTATTACTTCAAAATAATGATGATTTGCTTGAAAAGTTGAAGTGATTCAACTGTGGCTGCCCAATAATCATGTTCATCTTAACCCTTTACCCCCTCATATCAGTATCCATATTCTCCATACTATTCACTATATACATTTCCCAGGGTGCTAACAAAGAGAATTTGTTTAACAGGAGCTGTTCTAGTTGGTGATCATTTCCTCTCTTCTCATGACCTTAACGTTTGATTCAAGGGTGATATTGTAAGGAGAAATTAGATGCTAGACACTCTGAGGGGTCAAAGGGTGAAATGTGACATTAACATTGCACCAACCCTGATTGAACGCTTTGTTTGAAAATTATGACAGACTGGTCAAAATTTCATCTGCGAAATATATTGAATCTTACTAATTTATGTTTATCTTAGTAATATATAACGGGTTACATAGTGTTTTTGAATAATCTGGTTTTAAAGAAACTGCATCAAATATAACAACTCCTCTCCTTCATTGGCACAAAAATCTATTGCAATCATTTTCCAATGCCTGTAATAAGTTATCAGAAGTATAACTTTTTTTTCTAGACATATTGTTATATATATTTTAAATAGTCGTGATCAGATGCAAGGTAGACATAATGAATTTTCTTGTTTGTTGGTTTGTTTTTGTTTTGCAGGCATCTGAAGCCTTAGGCCCAATAGACATTCTTATCAACTGTGCTGGCTTTGCAGTCTGTGGCTTGTTTGAAGAAACTTCAATTGAGGATTTTAAGGTTGAATTTGAGACTAAAGTTTATCATCAAATTGTTGTCTGAGATGTGATTTTCAAAAACAGAAGAAAAGCATTGTTTGACAGCTTTTATTACGAAACCATATCTTACCTTCGGACACACCATTATATGCACACAAAAATTTGCACCACCATTGAATGTCTTTACAAAATTCCAAATTGAGATTAATATGGTGCTTGATGGTTTCCCACAACATTTCCTTCTTTCAATTTGAAGACTTAAAGATGTTAAAACCAGCAAAGGTTTGCTGAATTTCAGCATATATCTAGTAATTTGAAAAAAAGTATATTTATTTTTCTACTTTTAGTAATGAATACCTTTGTACACAAGGTAGTAAAAGTAACCTAACTTTCCCCTTATATAATTGGTGTCTCAGTTACAGAGGCAGGAACTTTTTATTCTTTTGCACATTTTCTACAAGGGTTATGACAGTTTATTAAAGAAAAAAACAAAACTTAAAAATGTGTAAAATTCTGTAAAATCTTACAGGCAATGATAAACACTAACTATTTGGCTAGTGTGTTCACAAGTCATGCTGTCATAAAAAGGATGAAGCAGCGGAGAAAAGGTCACCTTGTGTTTGTATCGTCAATAGGAGGGCAGGTAAGTAGGGTAGGGTTCTAGTTGTAAGTTGTGGCAATTTCATGATGGTCAAATACTTCACAGCTCCCTCTTTGTTGAAAGCTGTCTGGTGCAATTGAGACATTTCTAATTAAAGTAACACCATAACTTGATACTAGCCACTGGCTACAATTATAGACTGAGCTAACTTTATATTAAAATTTAAAAGCTTCTAGTCTAAAATAAATTACTGTCTTTCATTAAGTAATTTTACTCACAGAGATTTGTGTTCACACCTGATCAATGTCTTACTTGGGCTTGACTTCCACCACTCTCTTGTGTCTGGTCTCCTCTTCTCCATGTGGTTTTGGGGGGAAGGAGCGTGGGCTCATGTTCCTGAACAATGGCTGGTAATCGAGCCTATGTCTTACTTTAAAAGGAAGGGAAATTTTGAATCAGGAAATTTGCTTCTTCGTGTGCATGATTATTTGATTTGATTTTGTCTTGGTGTTTTTCAGTTTGGTATATTTGGATTTACAGCTTATTCACCTTCAAAGTTTGCAGTTAGGGGTTTTGCAGAAACATTGTTCATGGAGGTATCTAAATCCTTGGTTCTTTTCACCAAGGCATGCCTCTTGTTAATAACTGTCAATATGAATTAATTATTCTATGATTAATTGCTTATGAAATGGGTATAACTACAGGCATATAACTGTTAGAGGTAAATGCATTTGCCTCCAGGTCATGGAACTCTGGATCATACAAGGGTTGAGTTCCAGACTCTACTATAGTTTTACTGTGATCATAAGCAAGACAGTGTACTCTCACAGGGATAATTTTTCTTTCCTAGAGTATACTAGATGGGTAATGGCAGTTAAACTTGACAAAATACCATTACTTATAGTGCTGCTGAAGCAACAGAGCTGAAAAATTTCCTGCAGCGCTTATAGGTCATGTTGGCTTAGTATGTAAAACATGTTTGAGCTGATGTGTGGGAGTTTATTGAAGATTTTGTGTAAATCTTCTGATTTTAGCGATCTGTTTTCCTTTGTGCTGGTTTGATGATGCCCTCAGCTTATGACTCAAAAAAGTTACTTCCTCTCTTTTTTTTTGTTTTTTTGTTTTTGTTTTTTTTTCCCAAGCTAAAGGGCAGAACATAGATTTTGTACTTGCAGCAGATTGGCACTAGGTAAATCTTGGAGAAATTTAACCTCCCTTCAAACTCTTATATATTTTGGTAGGTGAAGCCTTATGATATTGCTGTCTCTGTGGCTTTTCCACCAGACACAGACACACCAGGGTTTGAAAATGAGAATAAAAACAAGGTAAAAAAGCAGAAACTGACCAAAGAGTGTTGATTCAGCATACTTGGGTGCTATAGCCAATATGTCTGGGAGCTTAACTGAATATTTTTGAATATGTTTTCTGTCAATTTTATCATTGATTGAAATGAATTTTTTTTTCATATTAAGGAAACTAAAGGCTATGAATAACTTAACAACATAACCTTCCTATTGCATTTCAGCCTGAAGAAACCCATCTAATAAGTAGCTCAGGAGGTCTTTTTACTCCAGAACAAGTTGCAAGTAACATAGTTGTAGGGATCAAGGTATATAAACACGTTACATAGTTGTGGAGGGTAATTCGCTACAGGTCGTTTCCTTTAAAGACCAGACATCTGGGGAATGTAGGATTTTGGGGGGGATCACATGGTTGTCAGGGGCACCGGAAGGGGGATCAGTCGTCGTCGACAGAGTATAAAGGGAGGGGACGGTGGACAATTGAATGTCAATGAGGGGGATCATACGAATATTACAGAGCTTTAGAATGTAACTTTTATTGTGACTCAATCAAAATACTCAGAACCCCTCAGGCGATGAGTAATGATCGTTTCCTTGCTGTTTAGTGAGTTGCAAGACGGTACCACCTTAGCTATATCGTCTTGAATTCTTGCTTATTTATTTTCCCTCTAATACAATCGTAATTGCATTCAAGGTCATTAATTATCCCGTGGGACGGTTAACTTAGTCTTTGCCGCTCTGAAGAGCGGGGTCGCCTAACGCTTTATTGTTAGAATTCTTGCTGTTCTTTGGTCCACTATTAATTCTCGGTGCTTTAAGACGAAAATGGTTAAAATTGCCAAAAACTTGGGTAGGCGATAAATTATTCCATGGAATTGCTTTAAAGTCTGTCAAGATGTTTTGTCGGTTTATTGTCACATCGAGTGGCAAATCTCAAACAGGTTGTGATATTCGTTTTTTGTTGTCATTCAGGACAGACGATTCATGATATCATGTGGCTTTGATGGATACGTAGTGAGCACGTTGACAGCAGGTTTGGCTCCGATCTCATCGTTAATGGAGCTACTAACACAAGTACGTTGCTTCCCTACAAAGGTGATAGGTGACGTCGCCCCATTGCACGGTCGCCCCTAGTTCCGTAGCCCTCATGGAAAGCTCCGATGTCTCGAAATACGGTCGGGTCGACCCAAACTTGAAGCTGTGTCGCCCCCAACTACTGGCCTCAGTTTATTTAAAGGTTTAATGGTTCTTTTAAAGCTTGTAGGTCCGACGGCCCTAGTATCAAAACCTTCAACCAACCATCTCAATGTTGCGACGGAACTTCACTTGAGGGCGACGGAACTGGAAGCGACCGTTCAAGGAGGCGATGTCATCTGCATCCTTTAAAAACACCTCTTACAAATAATTACGTTCAGGATGATCAACTCCTTTGTGATGTTAGAGTAGGAAAAGAAAATGTATGTTAGTAACTAAAAGCCGTTTTATAACATGGTTAGTCAATTGGTGTAATCTCATTCAACAGCGCGACCGTGCTTCATATTCTCGATGCGCACGATACTGAGCGGTGGGATTTGATTAAGTATGTTGATTTTGATCTTCTCTCTCCTCGCAGGTTATTCTGATGGGACCACTCAGATTTGTGCTGGCATTCTATCTGTATTATTATGATCGTATTGTGTTTAAAGGGATGCAAAAGAGGGAACAAAGCAAAAAGACAGAGTAGAGGCGAGACCTTACCCTGTCACTGGTCAAAGTAAATGCATATTTGAAATACCGGCCGATAACAGCATACCAGCTCAAGTGAGTGGAGGCGTTTTCCAGGGTCGGCTGAAGACGCCATGGAACGAGAACTAATAATTTTTTTCGAAAGTCAAAATATTTTCAAGACTGAAATCGTTATAATTGATCGCCAATTTTATTTAAAAGTTTCGATTCGCACCAATAAAGGTACAGGAATTTTAATTGCTTCCTCGGGGCTTTGTTTCTACTGTGTATGACACATCCAAAGTTTCTTCTACTTTGTACGTTTAAGCGATGAACACGTTGATTTTCGAACTTAGACCATTTCTTTTGGTAGACTCTCATTGCGTCGTAAAAGGTTAAGCCAGAGGTTCTCTCTGTTGAGTTCGATAACGTAGTTCTATCTATGTGCACTGTTTTTTATTATCCATGCATCGGCCAATGTAATTACATATTTTGTATACTTATATATATTCATTCATTTCCTTATGGTTTATTCTTGAACTGTCTAATTTATTTGTATATATATTTGATTATTTATTTATTAACCTATTCCATGAAGATATGTTTTTTTTTTCTTTTTCTCCTTTTGGCAACACAATAAGCGAACATAGCAAGCAGACACGTTACACCAACGACAAACAAAAGCCTTTCCACTTCAGCACACTGCATGTGGAGCAATCCTAGTCTCCAGCAATTATGTCTGAGAATGATATGCTTAGATGCTGCATACTCGAGCTGAGTCAGACAAAATGAGCTGCTCATTTTATCTGAATTGCCTCGTTTTTCCCGCACGGCCGAGTTTATCTTAATATTTTCAGCTCCTGGATCTTCAAGGATGTAGATCGTGGTGTTAATAAGCATAATTTTAGCATATAAATGCTTTTTATTTCGTAGCTTCGCAATGGGAAAGGAAGCCAACCTAGATTTTTAGGGAAAAGGTGGTAAGGGAGTAAGAATGTAAGTCGTTGGGTAGGGTCATAAAAGATTACAATGATGCGAAATCGCACGGTAATCGTGGATAAACATACTAGTAATGACAATAAATTTAACTTCTTCCCTAAGGGTTAAAATTTTTGGTATTCTGCGGTGTCGTCTGCTAGACGTGACCCTCAACCTGAATTCCAGAAATACGTTGATTCTTCCCTCCGTCATTGCATTTTTAACTGTTATCTACAGGTGTGTTAAATGCTTTAGCGCAGATAAAGAAAAGACCGGAGGTGAACAATTTAATGAGGAGGAGGATGTGGGTCATGCTTGGAGTAATAGACCTTCTTGTATGGTTATGATATAACTTAACGTTAAATACTTGTTTTGCAGTTGGACGTTTAATAATATCGATGATAGATACTCCGTAGAGTGTGAAAATTTTGCTCATTAAAGACTCACACTTTGCCATAGCAGTAACAATTCAGCCCCTACCCTTAAACTCCCGAAAATGATTAACACGTAACTTTTCTCTACAATATCCATACATTATCCAGCAAGCAGGTAATGAGAATACTCCAACTTATCAGGTAGAATTTGTTGTCTTGATTTCACTCTAAATTCTCTTAACTTATTTACAAGGAAATGCGCAGCAGCTAGAGGGGAGATTAACGATCAGATCGTGCGAGTCAAAGAGTTAAAACAACTTTTTTTGTTAGATACTTTCGTTTTATAGGAGACAACTGAATTTTTTAATCGTTCGTGGTTTTGTGGATGTTGTTCCGTATTTTTGGATTTTGAAACATGAATACTGTCCTAACGTGTATGATGCCAGGGCAATGAACTAATTGTTTATTATTTGGAGATAATATTTTTGTTTTGTTATTTTTCAACTGCATTTTCCCCGCGCAGCTAAATAATGTTTTCTAATAAAACTTAATACGTGAGAGTATTCAGGAAACCGTCAGTCCTTTGATAATTTTCGTCGATCTCAGTTGATGAATTATGTAAAACATAATTCGATCTATATCTTCAACGAGTTCAGGCGTTATTTTCAAATACGAAGAGTTTCGAGAAAGAAGTAAACGTGCCTCGAATGATCAATGTTTCCTTCTTCTTAAAGAAATTGCTTCCAGTATTACCATTATGAGCTAAAAATAACCCTTACTAAGTAAACGCGACCCCACCCCCGCGGGCATGACCTTGTGTATGCGCAGTAATTGTGCGCAGTTACGTTGGTTTGATTCAATTTGTGGAATGCAGGTTATTTTGCGCCACCAGTGGAACAGTTTGAAGCATAATTCCTCATGTCCAAGCTACTCAAAGGATCTAAGAAAGTACCTACACAATTAGACCTAAGTATCATCGAAGTAAAATCGAAGGTAAACAGTCGCTTGCGAGGAATCTTTCATCATAAACCGAATCGTGCATAGTAAAGCATAGGAACTGTCATTCCGAGTCGATAAGAAATCTCTATCTTCTCTCCGCAGTTTGATGCAGAATTTCGCAGGTTTCCCTTAGATAAAACGCGACTGACGTCGTATGAAGATTTCTACAAGCATGTACAGGCGATTCACAAGTTACAATCCATTCCATTCTCAACATGGTACACGGACATGTATGGAGACCTACTCCCAATTAACAACGATGATAACTTCTTACGGGCTGTGACAACGGCTAGGCCGCTTTTGCGGGTTTTCGTCCAACGCAAAGGTACGGAAAATATGACTTCAATTAGCTTCTAGTCGAGTTCAGTCGTATGGGTGATTTAAGTTTCTCAATTCTGGCCTAAAACGATTCATTTCAATGTTGACTAGTTCCTAAAATCATCGGTTTACAGTTCAACTTTTATCGGCTTAGCTTGAAATTCTTATCGTTCTTTTAAAATTCAGTGAGCAGTCAAACTCAGTTTTAATTTTTTGTCTTAAAGGACTTGCTCTTTTTCAGACCAGACATGTCTTAGATAAATTAAACCCATTTGGGAATTTACCAAGTTAAATTCAATTAAGACAAAGTCTGATGTTGTAGTTTGTTTACTCAAAGGACTATTGAACCATAATTTCATTAGCTGTTTTTGCTTTCGTCTTGACATTGAAATTATGTATTTTTGTCTAGATACTCTTCATGTGACAAGGAAGTTTTCACTAAAATTTCCATATTTTTGGCTTTCATGTTTTTTTGCTGTGAATTAGTCAAACTTTCATCAACCAAAAAAATGTTCCCATGTGTTACTCAACCCTAAATTTGATAACAAGAGTTTCCTTTGTACCATAATTGTGGAGATTAATGGGAATTACTTATACATATTGTTTAATATGCTGTTCTTTGAGACATCTCACATTTGTGACATGCACCCTTATTAGGGTAGTAGTGAAAAGCAAATCCTTTGCAAACACTTCAGTAGAAGTCATCCTTAGTTTCTGATTGCGAAACCAATAAGGTTTCTATTTTCAGATTCTAAGCTTTCAGACGGAAATTTATTGTGTGTATATAGATTATTTACATTTGTCTCAAAATGTTTTGAGAACATATAAATTTACTCATCTCCTTCATGATGAGAGTGTTCATAGTTGGTCTATCTATACTTATCTTTAGGCAGTGAATCTGTTCACTACTGGATTTTGATTGTAGCATTTGAAAATTCCAAGTGATTAATAAGTGCCATTTTCAAGAAGTATTTGTGTTGTCTCGGGAATCCATTAATGCTTTTTCTTGTATGAATTTCATGCCATGGGACAAGTTTAAAAGAGCTGTGTGTCTTTTCGGGCGTTGAAAGATTTTTAATCACAAATTGATATAATTCCACTATGGGCAGCTTCTGGTAGTTAAATATTTTGTCTGGCAATTAACCAACTTTTGCTGTGAGCATCTGACAAAGGGCTAATGCTTGAAACATCAGCTTTTAAACTCTTTATGCAGGGTGTGAAATTAATTTTTTTTCTGATAGCCACTTGGCTCCTAAATTCTTCAAAGTGGTAGCCAATTCAAAAAAAGTTGGTCGCTATTTTTAAAGACAGACAAGACCTTTCTTATGCTGTCAGCATACTAGATAGACCCTCCAAAATTAAGTAAAGGAAAAGATCTTTAACGTGCTACAAAGTGGACACTAGGATGGATGATATACAACATTCAAGCTCATCTTAATCCAAGATGGCGTCTAGTTATCGATTGAGATGTATGTGCTGTGTTTTGGAAACAAACTTTACAAGGAAGTTTCCGTGGATTTATCTTTGCAAATCTTTTTAATTCACTATATCTCTTGGTAAGGTTATGATGAAACATTCTAGTAGCTAATTTGGCCACTAATTTTCAGGATTTGGTCGCCAAAGTGAAAAATTTAGTCGCATTGGTGCCTGTATTAGGCACAATTTCACGCCCTGTTATGGTGGCCAATTTATGTTATCAATTCAGTTGATAATAGTAAATTACTCTGTTATACTATCACACTGATCCATTGCCACAGTGTCTTTAAAAACTTACCCCTTTAGAATGTACAGAAATAAAGCTGTTTTATGAACGTGTATTATTACTTAATATTCCTGGATGTACTGTTCCATGACATTCTCCTGGAATGAATGCTAGTACACAAATGCATGATACCAATGTATCTGTTTCTAATCTTCATTCTTATCTTGAAACTAAAGGAAATGGTATCTTACGTCAAGTCAAATGCATGTTGATTTGGGAAGACAGGAAATTTTACATTTGGCCTTTAAATAGAGAAGGATATGAAGTATTTGTGATGAGTAATTTAGTATAGGGGAAACATCATTGAGTCTGCTGTGAGCATTGAATCATACCTCAGCCAGTTCTGATTTTGGAGTTCTAGTTTCCCTATTGGATGTTCTGAGACATTACAGTGGAAACTGGTTGCTGCTTGGGTCTTAAGGTTTTAATGAATAGTAAACACTTTCCTATCCTTACAAATATAAGGTAATGTTTTTTTTTCAGGAGGTGGCGTCCCTGAAGAGAATGCTGTACCCCCTGAAGTACCAAGGCGTCGGAACTTGTTATCAAATCTTACAAACCCAGCCAAATCTCATCTCAGTAGGATATCAATCAGTGGCCCTCAGGATTTCCGGCGAGTTTCTGCAATTGTTGACGTGGACATTATCCCTGAAACCCAGCGCAGGGTTAAATTATTGAAGCACAACACAGATAAACCACTAGGGTTTTACATCCGAGATGGAACCAGTGTTCGTGTAACACCTAGTGGACTAGAACAGGTTCCAGGAATTTTTATTTCAAGGCTTGTCCCTGGTGGGCTTGCAGAAAGCACTGGTTTGTTGGCTGTAAATGATGAGGTTCTTGAAGTTAATGGTATTGAAGTGGCAGGGAAAACTTTGGATCAGGTAACAGACATGATGATCGCAAATAGCCACAACCTTATTATAACTGTGAAACCTTCAAATCAGTTTAACAATCCAGTGCTTGGAAGACTGAATCGGGCTGAGCCAGATCGCATGAAATCACAGAGCCTTACAAATTTAGCAACACATTCTATTCATAATCCAGTACTTACTACAGGATCACCAACAATGCATCACGCTTACCACAATGAATTGGCAGAAGAAATCCCAGACAGTGATGAAGAAGATCAACCAACAGTTGATGAAGATGGCATTGTGTCTATATAATCATGTATCATTCCAAACTCATTATGGTGACAAATCAATGTAGAAATATTGTTACATGAATATACGTGAATGTATAGTTTAAACTCAAGAGCAATTTTCTAGGTGAGAGGAATTTCTATGTTTTAAATTTAGATATCAAAATCTTTTTTCTTGATACAAAATGAAATGAACCACTCGTCATAAATCAAACTTTGATTTGAAAAATTAACAATAGTTTACTCATTTGATCAATACTTACAACAATTTTTTGCTAACTTTTTGAATAGTATCCTTTGAGTTTTTAATAAAAGTACTCAGAGTCTTTCCACCGATCTAATGTTGTAATTTATAGACTGCATTTTTAAGTGTTGTTTAACTAGTGCCAGAGTAATCAAAACAACCAGTCTGGGTGAAGGAAAATATTGCAAGGTGATAATGATAACACCAAATAGAAACAAGCAAACTGCTTTATGTGGGGGAAAATGAGAAACAGTCAGTTGCAATTAATTTTAATTTTTGAATCTGATTTGTTAAGAGGATGGCATAAGTGTTCTAAGCCAATCATAGCACCAAGTGAAATGAAACCAAAGCATTCCTTGGTCATTTATGTTAAAATTAAAAGTTGCTCTATACATTAATATTATGTTTTTGCATTCCTAAAACGTGCCTTTTTTAACACTTAAGCTCCCAAAATCTTATTATTAACCTTCCCAACTATATGCTTTACATTTCCTTTTAAATGACTCGAGTCAAGAGAATTTGGTGCTATATCAAGGTAACATGCAGAAGCTGATAAATCTCTGTTCTCATCCCCTATTTATAAGATAATATATTGATATTGAGGGAAGAATCTACACAGTAATCAATCTTGGCAGGGGGGAGCCAAGCTGTTAAGAGAAGGCAATTGCAACCACTTTACACAGGAATACATTTTAGTCAGCATTGGGGTGTTAGATATGTTCAGAAGGTAGTTTGAAAAAGTGGACAATTTAGGTAAGCACCATTGCACATTTAGGTTCAATGTTTTCAATGTAATATATAATGTTTGCCAGTGGTATGTTTCTGAGTTGATGTACTTTGATCTGGAACTGTACGTGATATCTATTTCATGACCTCAACTTTTTGCACTAGTTCTCAATATTTTTGTATCGTTGTTTGATTACCTTTTGGACACTAGATCTTTAATTGTTTGGACATAGTATCTTATTGATATCATAAGTTTGGAGGTACTGTTGGTCAATTTTGCTGGAAGAGTGGGTGGCGTAAGGTATGAAGTCATTCACTCATTTTACATTGGTTTTTTTTTTTTTTTTTTCTTTGACAATGGTATTTTGTCTAAATGGCTTAGGTAGCAGGGATAATGCTACACAAGAAGTGACATAGTTTGCCAGCTTCCAGCTTTTAGGCCAGAAAAACACTGGGTAACCCAGCTCACTCCAACAAAGTGCAGGTCATTTTATATCAGAGTGAAGTGATCAGTTGAGGAAATACAAAAAGTTAAATAGATAGTGTCTCCAAATAATTTGGGATTGAGGGTATGGAATTATTATATGTGGTTAAAACATTTTTCCAAACTGATCGCATTTAGAACATACTGACATTAGTTTTGCTATTTGAAAATAAAGATCTAAAATGGGCTTACAGTAAAGTCTATCATTCTTGTTGATGTTATGTCTACTTGTAATTTAGAAACAACACAACTGATCCCAAGAGTACTGCTGTTCCCTTTGCCTACCCTAGGATCTTGTAGGCTCTTTTATGCAGCATGCAAGCAAACCAGCATACCAAATTTGCTATCCAGTGATGGTAAGAATTTTCTTCAGGTCAACAAACTTGAACAATTAGTCATCTCAATAGTTACCTTGTCTCTACCCTTTGATTTTCATTTTTACATCAAATTGATTGAAAAAAAGTGGCTGACATCTTTTATCCATGGATGTGTAACTAAGTACTGTAATCAAAAATAAATGAAACACTTATGTTGCAAGGATGAAAAATAACATTTTATTATTGCTATTTTATAAAAATAATAGTGATCTTACGAGGATGCATTTTTAATTTGTTAGTGGCATAACATTTTCATTGATGGATTCAATGTTAGAATTTGCTGTTAACCCTTTAACTCCCAGATCAAATTTGTTGTTTTTAACATCAACCATACAATTCCTATAATGTTAGTTCAGAGAATTTAGTATTGAATCAACTAATTATCACCAAATTGATATTTTCTTTATTCTCATTAATTATCTGGTTAATATTGTATTGATATTGTAAGGAGAAATTATGTCTTGGTCACTCGTGGGAGTTAAAGGGTTAATGAATCAATTACAAATTCATCAGTAGATCCCCCTAGATGCTTGATGTGCATCAATGTGTAACAGTTGGTTTCAATTTATGTTCAGCTGCTGAGACTGTGAAGATCCAAGGTTCCTGTTTTGCTTAACCAACGTTCAAAAGTCAGACTGTATTGGCGCCCTGGTTCTTCTCGTACTATATCATCTCTTCTTTTTTCAATGCCTGGTAGCTCTTGCTTTTGTTGTGATTTTGAGTTTTTCCAGTCTTCAAAGCTTTTGCCTGCCATCCTTGATTGTCTTTTGCTTTCTAATTCCATCTCTTTCCTTTGTCTTGCCTCTTTTTCCTTCTTTTGTTGTTGCTGTTTCTTGGACTTTTTGTCCTCTAGCCACTCATCAAATGTCGCAGACTTGGAACTGTCTCGTGATTTACTAAAGTAAAGAATGGAAAAAATTCCAAGTTCAGTGTGGCAAGAATGCACTCATTTTCAGCCAATCAGAAGCGCACCATTTTTCAATGTCCATCATCAATGCTGAAATCAATGTGCTCACTTTTTTTACAGTATACATTTATTTGTGGTAAATACAAATAAATAAAAACAATAAAGGTGAACACTTAACTGACAAGAATCCCTACATTTTAGCACAGAGCTGTCAGAACCTCCATTTAGGAGAAAATTAGAGGACTGTGAGAAGTGTCCCCTGGACCCCTTGAAAAAATTATAGGAGCAGTCTGTTTTCCAATTAGGAGGACAAAAGTTTGCATCTCATGAAGAGAGGAAAATATAATAGAACGCAGCTTAACACTACCTTTCAACCTTGACCAAAGGCTGAGATACATCAACAGTAAGATACAATAGGTTTTAAATGTTACAACAAACCTGCTTGCAAGTCTCTCCTTGGACCTTATGTGTGGAAGCACTGGCTTCCCTCCCAAGCTGTATCTTGCACCTGAAGGGCATACCAGAGCAATGGAACAATTTCAGTGTATGATAAATAGTTTTTTTGTCCTGACAAAGTCATTTAAAACAATCATTTTTGTAATCCCTAATTACATAAACAGAGAAACTGATTCCATGGAACAGGTCTGTGTAGCTAATTCTCTACAGAATTTTATACACTTAGCTTGTAAAACCGACCCTCTTCTTAGGAGGAACTTCTGGGGTAGTGTCCAAAAGATTTATAAAAAAAACACCTTCCCGCAATGCTATGTTATCAACAGTATTGTTACCCTTCCTCGAAGTGACGGACAGCCTATCTAAGCAATCTTACCATCGATTTCCATCCCTCCTTCAATCGGAGGCAACTGGTGTTCGAGAAGATCAGAGGAAGATTGTTCAAAGAAGGAATCTCGTAGTTGGTTAGCTTCTCCCACTGGTCTTCTCCTTGGAGCACTGATCCCGGTCCCGGCAAACTCTCCTGGAGGCAGAGTTTGACAAAAGTACACTTGTGAATATTTCCCTTTCAACCACGTTGGAAAAGAGGAGTCGAATTGTTGATGCATCATAAGAGATTTACTCGCTCTCCTATGCTTGGTTTTGGCCGCTCTTGTCTGCCATTGAAATAAAAATAAATGTCTCTCGCTATCCTTGAAGCCCCACTGGCTCGCTATCATCAGGGCAGATTTGCCTTGAACATCAATTTCGTCCATAGATGCTCCTTTTTCGAGCATCAGATCGATCGTGTTCGAATGTCCTTGAGAGGATGCAGCATGCAGCGGCGTGCGTCCAAACGGTGTCTTCATATTTACATCAGCTTCTCCATTATCTATCAAACTTTTTATCAAGTTAATTCTGCCACGATGGGCAGCAATAAAAAGTGCAACTGAAGCTCTATCCTTGGCAAGAGCAACCTTGTTTCTGTAAGTCAGGGGATCTAAAGATTCCCACCCCTTCTCGACCACAACTCCTTCGTTTAGAACTTGATCTATTGAACCTCTACACACGGCAGCAACCAGTGTATCCCACATTCTCCATAGTTTCAAATTAATCGTGGCTCCTGCTACGACATCGTTGTGTCTTAAATCTGAATCATCTAGCATATCTCCTTCATCAAGATACTGTAAACGTTGCAAGTTGTAAGGTATTCCCACAACAAGTTCTGCGTAACATTTTAGTTCCCGAATCTTCATCTCGGCGTGAACATTTTTTAGCAAGAACTTCTCTCCCGTACAAGCAATGTAAATATAGATGTCAAAAGGAGCTGTCTTCAATCCCTTCTTCTTCCTTTTGACCGCAGCCATACTTTCTACCGTAAAGAAACTTTCAAAATTATAATTTGAAAAATTAATAACTCCTCGGTCGACTTTTCGCAGCCATGTTTGGCTTTTAGAGTTGGCTTTGCTTGTTACCTCAGCAACCAGCTGTCAATTTTAATTTGAGTCGGTCGTGTTTTAGTCATGTCACGCCAACTCCTTATCAAACCTTATCTTCTTTCTTTCTTTTCTTTATGTCACGCCAACCTCTAATCTTCCCTGACACCATAACATGGGGTTTTACCAGTTTTTATGTAACCCTCACCAAAGAAAATTTAACATGGTGTTTCAAAAATGTTTATGATACGTTTCCGACTTTCGACGAAGCTGTTCGTCGGAGACATCAAATAAAACGATGAAAAATTAATACAAAATGACCATACGGCAGGTGTTCCGTCGCCGCCGAAAGTCGCTGAAGCGGATCGTGACAATTTCGAATTCGTAAAATTTCGAACATGACAGCACCTACATTTGCGTCACGAGCGTTATATGAGCGATTTCTCACACGATTGCTAAGCTTTTTTCACCAACCACAATCAGTTTATTAGTTACTTCACCCACGTCACAGATAAAAGGCCAAGGAAATGTCATTGTATTTGTATTTAGTAGAGACTGGCTTGTAGCAGTGTCACCGCTGAAATATCAGCAAACCTTACTCTTGATTGTGCCATATCGATTCGAAACCTGGGTAGTCGGTTGACACATAATCATACACACGCAGGAGAGAGGCAGCTTGCAATGAAGTGTCGCGGATACATCTTGTTTACATCGCTTGTGACTGTTCTATCGTTTGGCCATATATTAAGTTTGTTGGCGACGCCAGCAGGTGAGATGAATATTTGATTCTATTTAATCGATCAGATTGATCTAGTGGATTATTTACAAATCAACGATGATTGTTGTAAGCGGCTGTCTCTAGCCGCGCTTTCTTGACGATTGTCTGTGGTACGTTTGACTGAGCACCACGCGGTTATTTCTTATTTCGTTGATAAACTGAACATGTCGCTGGTATTACTACACGGTGTAGTTTGAAAAGTAAAATGGTCTCGAAACAATAAAGTCACTAAGTGGCGCTGTACATCGCTTTAATAGTTAAAGACAACGCCATTTGTGTTCTCCACACTCTGTCTGTCTGCTACCATTTTCTCTCGGGCTGTTTGTAGCTTTTTTGGTAACTCTTTGTTTGAGCGATGAAACCTCAAACCCATAAGTGTTTTGCCCAGTGATGTTTGGTAATACGGGATCTAACAATAACAGAGGATTTTCAAGACCGTTGGATAAATTATAGTCCGTTTCCTCGAGGGAAGTCTTAAAATTAGTTCTGGTGAGATTACGTGAAGATAAATTATCTGCGGTCTTTTTTTCTCGAGGAAAAACTTGATAGGGGGTACTTGTCTCACTTTTTTCCAAGACAATTTTTCCTTTTTCTCAGTCCTCTCATGAACGAAAATGTTCCCTACCAAAGGGAGAGCAGAATCGCAAATTTTCATTTTCTTTGTGAGCTCAACTTGCATAAATTTTGGTCGATCAAGCGTGGAGTGAACATTATTAGGATAATTAGCGGCGTCTGTAAAATACTACACGCGCTGCATCAAAAAGACGTCATCCTCATGGGAATGCTCGCCCAAACTTGTTTGGTCTCCATCGTTAACTTTCTTTGCTTCCCCTTCATCTCTTCTCAGGATTTCGCTGGTGTTGTATTTCAGAAGCTGAAGTTTCTAAATGTTTACACTTAGCGAATGTGACATCACATCAGATCGCCCGGTTCGCAAGGGTGACATGTATCCATGGAAGCAACGTGACAAATTGTATTGACATGGTTGGCTCTAGAAATGCCGATTTCATCACCCTAGGAGAGAAGAATATTTATCAGGCTGGTAGGTTATTGTAACATTTACAAGGCTGTGTAGACTATGGCGATGAACTATGGGGGTCTCAATGAATATCTTAAAAAAGCGAGCGCGTAAGTTTATGGAGGGGGCAATGGACTTCGGGGCAAAATAGCTTTCCCCTCCCCACTCTTTTTTTTTTTTTCTTCTAGTTTTTTTTTTTCTTTTTTTTTTTTTTTTTTTTTTTTTTTGCACTCCTACCAAATTTTGCTCGACCACTTTTCCGATTTTTTTCCGCACCGACCGATAACATGGAACTGGCTTTACCTCTCAATGTAATCTATTTTTTTAAACCCTCCTACTCCTAAGATCTGAAAGCTAATTTCCCTCACGTATAATCACACATTTATTTATGTTAAGCCCTAAGAGTTTTGAGCTTAATGCAAACAGCAAACATCATCTGCGATTAACAATCACCATAATTCTCATCGTTCGTCTGTTTGATATCAGTTAAAAATTGTTAGGAGAATTTATGTATCGATGACTTCACAGTGTGAAAGGGCTAGGCTCAAGCCCACTCAAATACAGTAACCACGAAAACAAATAAAGAAAGTTTTGAAATGGAGTCTATCTTAAAATTGCATCAATGCAAAATTTGTCGTTTGCATTAAGTGTTAATCCGAAGTCCATTATTAAACAAACATATTCCTTTCTCATCTTTTTTTATTATTCACTGTTCTTGGCTACCCTTAGTCTTCGACGCAGCCGTTGTCTGGTCTCATCGTGTAACGCGTTCTCCGTTTCGTGACGAGGCGAAGGAGACTATGCTACCGTAGCAAATCATTAACTAAAGGTCTCCGTCGGTGACAATGTTAGACGACCTAAAAAGCACTCAAAATACCGCCACCTACCTCCTTTATTACTAAATGCTTGGCAAGCGATCGATCCAGGTCAATTCCCATTTAACTAGGTTCTAAACATGGTCTTGTACCAGTGGTAGCAGAGGACTACGGCAAACACGAAGAAGGTCTGGAAAGCTATTCTGTTGCCCTTATTCAAAGCAATCTGTCGGATGGTGCAACAATAAATTCGCTAAAGGACAGGAAATCTTGCCACCCAGCGGCGGGGGACGCGGTCGGGTGGACAGCACCTGTTGGACTACTGATTGGAAGAGGAGTGATTCAGTGGGATGGTTGTAATCCTTACCAGTCCTCTGGGGAGTATTTTGATCAAAGTTGCGTGCCAGGTTTGTGGTTTATTCGAGTTGTGAAGACATAAGTTCTTGTTCCACTTGTAAGTGAAATGTGTTTTCTTTTCGAGGATCTAGTAAATTCTTTATGTATTGAAAAAAAATTAACTTAGAGATAAACTCATATTGATTATATATAGATCTATACTGTTACTGATTTAATTTGATGGCAAAGAATCAAAAAACAAAACTATTGTTGTATCATTGAAAAACATCTCAGGCTTAGGGCCTAGTTTGTAAAGATGAATACAATGTTTACTCCTTGCTTGATCGATAACAATCTATGCATGTTGAGCTCGCAAAGAAAAATAAATACTGTACCGGATCTAATCCCGGGATTTTAGTATCACGGGCTGACATGTAGTGCACTAGGAAAACATTGAGAGCGCACCACAGCGCTTATAAGTAACACTAAGGTAGGGATCCATCACCGTTCGAGATTAAATCTTCTGTGTTCATCTTCAGGAGCTCTCTCGACTGAATACAACCCACAAAACAGCAATCCCATGAGTCTGTGTGCAATTTGCACCAATCAGAAGACTTGTCCACGAAATGTTTCCGAAAGGTACTTTGGTTATCATGGGGCATACCGCTGCCTGACAGAAGGCCCTGGGGATGTAGCTTTTGTCAGCCATCTTACAGTATTCGAACTCACTGGAGTGGAAAATGATTTTAATCCAGGGAGAGATTTTAAATTGCTTTGCCTAGACGGAACTCGAACAGGTAAGGCGAAAAAAGGTGTTTATCGGAATTATAGATATGAACGGCCAAATTAATTATTTTTAAAAGGGAGTTTAAGTGGTTCCGTAATTGACTCTTGATTTCGATTTAAGAAGTTCGGGTTCGAACCGCCACCAAGATCACTGACAGGGCTACTTTCTTCACCTCCCTCCGTTTCCAAGCTTTTAAGTTTGGAAATGGAGCGATTTAAAAATGGAACCCAGAAAACTGCCAAGGAGATCTGTGGGCTCACCCTGTCATTCGTTAGCATCCCTTTCCGAATAAGTAGCAAAAGATCAAATAATTTTCCGGTGGCGGAAATCGTAATAGGTTCTGATGGCATGAACCGTATGCACGGCTCGTGTGCAGACTTTCTTTTTTATGCCTTTTATGCCTTTATGCCTTTAATGCCTTTTACGCCATTGCCCACCCAACAGTTAATTCGCCGTAGTAAAGCGATTTAAAATAAGCAGGTCTCCTTTAGACTCCATGTCTTTCTACATTTTAACAACAGATGTTGGAGCCTTTCAACAATGTAACCTGGCCAGGATTCCTTCTCGGGTCGTCATGACAAGGCCCGGGAGTATGGTAAAGAGTTTAAAACAGTGGCTTCTTCGCTTGGATGAATATTGTCGGACAAACCCCCACTTTTCCAAATGTTTAATTCTTCCACGTATGGTGGTAAAGACTTATTATTTGCAGACTCCACGGTCAAGCTCATAGATGTGAAAGAAAAGAACACAACCCAGGCTTGGCTTGGTGAGAAGTACTATTTTGCGCTTCAGTCACTCAGCTCCTGCCCAGAGGTACTTGCGGTGTCTAGATCACTTACGGTCAGACTCGAACCAAGAGGGACTGGGAAGTTTATATCAATTGAGTTCATCATTGTAGTCCTTACTCTTTATTGCTGCCTGACATAGGACCAAACGGAAATGCTAACACTCGGTGGCATGGTTTAAAGGGGTCCTAGTGTAAATATCGACAGCGGAATCTAGTCACAGCTGGTGTTGACGTGTAAGTGCATCTCTAAGCTCTGGCAAAAGATGGTTCATCCAGCATACCGTATATTAAACGGGATCGGTCAATTATTAGATCAACCTTACTGTCGGAGACATTTTTCTCGCACTTGTAACAGAGAATCGTTCGGCTCTATAAACGCCGACTAACTCCTTTAATTTTACAGTTCTTTGAATTAAATCGGTTTTGAATAATCTATGTTTGTTCAAAAACGCACAGATGAATCGGGGCACTGAACAAAATTGAGGAGGGGAGAAGCAATCCTGATTATCTTCAGATTACACTGAAATACTTCCTAGTAACAAGATGTCTTCTGAGATTAAACGTAATTAACTACAAGCTGGTTAAAATAACGGAAAATACAACTGAAGGAAAAGTGGAAAAACAAGAATGAAAGGTATAACAAAGAATGAATGAGTAAATATGTAAATGAACAAACGAGCAAACGACGGAATGAATGAGTGAAAGAGTTGACGAACTAACGAAAGATTTCATGAGCAAATGAATGTACGACTTAACTATTCAATTACACCAAAAGCCTACATCAGAGAACAATTAAAAAATTGTAATGGCTTACAACATTAGCTTACTACTGAATAAAGAATACACCGAGTAACATTGTCTCCGCAATTGTCCGTGTAATTCATGAAATGTTGTTTCAGGTATTTTATACGAAATCGTTAGTTAACAAAATGCTAGCAATTTGTCATTTAATGAGAAAAATATTTTTCTGAAAAATAGTATTTTGAAATCAGAGTTTTCTTTGCTCTAATTATGCGACCATTTGACTATGACAGTCCGATTTTCGACGACCTCACGGTACTTTCGTTATCTGACGCGATTTGAGGTCAATTATGCCAAATCGCCTTGTATAGTTTAGAATTCGATGGAAAGAAAAGAAGAAAAGCATATATTCGAGGGAAAAAAATCCAGCCATGCCAACCAACGACCCTCATCTTCCGAACCAACTCTGGCATGCGAAGTTGACAATAATGACCGGCGCGGTTCGTAAGGTCTTGCTAAAGGTTGGTAATTTAGTGTTAACAACTGGGATTTAGCCACCGTAATGACCCTTCGTCAGGCGACGGTTTCTTTCACGTCAGACAAGGTCTTGCCGAATAAAAGATCTGTCTTACTTACTTACTTATTCCACACCCGTTGATACAGAGCTCTGGCTATACACAATTAAGTTCAAACAACACACAAGTATAACGAGTAACTAGGAACAAAAACTTTATTTCACTAATCTCCACTAGTGTTCCATGTGCTTAAAAGCTAATACTGTTTAACATCACGGGTCTATGTTTTTGTTCTACGTATGTCATCATGGCTTGCATTTGAAAACGGGGACTTTTTTCTCTGTCTACCTTCTATGTAACTTTATTTCTGTGAAAAGTCTAAATCGACTTGGTCATGCTACGGAAACTGGAAACGTAACGCTATTAAGAGATCATGCGATATGGCTGTTGATTTTGTTGCTCTAAAACACGCACAGAAGCTGGATCACTTGAGTAGCCTACGCGGAACGTATCTCGGTGAAAACAAAAGCTAATGGAAACGCGTGTGGTAAGTTGAGGAGAGAGACTAGAGAAAGAGTTGCTTGTCTGTCATCGCGCGAGGTTCTTTCACACGCAATAAGATAAAATCAGACAAGGGCTTACCAAGCCGAATAAAAGATCTGAACGCTGTCAATTCGTCACTATCACATGTCATGCGCGGTGATGTCTTTGAAACTGGCTGGATTATATAATCATAGAACTACACTGAACGGCTTGTAAAGGCTAAAAGCAAATTTTACAAGGAAACAAAGTTTAATCTGAAAAGTGGAGGCGTTTATTGGTGTTAAGAAAAATATTGATGGTAAGCCATTATTTGATTTTGATCTCTATCTTCTCGATCTTCAATGTTTTCAACTTGTCTATCTCTCGATAAGTAACAAAAAAATCTACCCTTAACATTGACAATCAAAACTGAATGAGTTTTGAACGATAAAGCTCAAACAGTCATAAGGATAATCTGGGCTCAAAAGCATTTCCCTTGCCTTCGCCGCTACCTTTTGACCAGCGACGATAAAAGCGTGCCTAGAGCTTACAATTACCATATTCTCCCTCTACTAACTTTGCAATTAATGATCATGAACTAAAAAAGGAAGTACCCTGATGACCTAACCACTTATTAATCATCAGCTTCATCACTACCCGAAGCACGTTCAAAGTTCGTTTTATATGAACATGTCCAGCAAGGCTGTGAAAAGCACAAGCAAGGAGACGGGCAGAATCGCAGTAGAAGAGGAGGCAGGCGGTGGCGGTAGGGTCGTGGAGGTTGTGGTGTCGCATGAAGTCAGGGAATCCACATTTTCGCCATAACTTTTTCCGAGGTAATCCATAACGCTCTGTTTACCTGCAGGTTGAGCATTCAGTGCGGTTGTTGAATCTTTAAAGAGCAAATTATTGCCGCTGTACTGCGAGGAGTTGAATAGTTGGAACTTTTTCCAGTCCGTCTGTTTCACTCCATACGTTTCGCTCATCTTCGTTAAAATTTTGATGATGTCTCCGATGTCAGAGTTGTTTCCTCTAGTGACCACAGCATGGGCAGGATTTGCGCCGAGATGGCATTCCGTGTGCGTTCCAACAGCTAAAGAAGGTAACAAGAGCATTACATCAGCGCTCACCTTGCTTCATAGTTTATAAAGTGGCAATTCTAAGACGCATGCAGCACCTATGTTTCCATTATAAAATTCAGCCAGCGTTCTCAACAGTTCTCCTCTACTGTGATTGAACCAGTAAGGCAGGACCCGCAGGGGTAGTTGTAAGAAGTCAAACACGCCATGTTGGGTAAAACCGTCTTTATTCAATACCACGTGACACAATAGGTTCGCACTACGTGCGGATACTACAGTTAGCTTCCAGTCTAAAACTACTCAGAGATCATGATTGAACAGCAGTTTGAAAACAAATCAAAATGGAAAAAATTCGTATCGCGTGCGCCGTAAATAGGATAATCATAACTGGATACATTACCCATTCTTCCTCCCGTAGGGCAAAGGTATTCGTAATCTTCCGGTTTCCCATATTTTCCTCCTGCAGCCACCTCCTCTGTGGTCGTGTATTTCACAAAAGCAACGTCACCTTTTCCCTCCGCCATGCACATGAAGGCTCCGTGATAACCGACGTATCTATTTTTTAAGGTGTCTGTGGTGCACTTGTCATTCTCAGGGCCAGCACATAGGTTACAGAGGTTACTTACCATTTGATAGACGCCTGACGACACTTTAGATGGGGTACCTAAAAAGCAAAACGCATTGAAAGTGAAATTTTACCATTTCAGTGTACGTATTAAGCGGAAACTCTTTGTTTACTTCTACAAAAGAACCTCGGGATGCATTGAGGAGTGCATGATAGGCATCATGCCGGCTACAAGATTCTAGATTGTCACGAGGTGCAGTAAAGGATTAATTTCCTGCGATAATCATGTTTACGTAGTCCGACTCTTTTGCTGCGCTGTACATCTATTGTCTGTGATAGCATGCGTGTCCTCAACTGTCCCAAATAAGTCGTCGCAGCCTGACTTTAAGTTGTGATTACTCCCACAAATTTAGACCGACATCATTCAACCTGCTATTGACGCAAAGCTCTTTCTGTGCTAAATCAAGTGAACTGGGTGCCAAGGGCCATAAATATCAGAGACAAAAACGCGGCCCTAAAATGTGGGGTTAGCCTAAGTTTTTAAAGGCAAAACTGTCTATGGCCCGGATTGTTCATCGCATATTCCCTAAGCTAAATATGTAATTTCATCATTCATATGACTAATTAGAAAGGTTATTTTCAGTTGATTGTCTGAGGCAAAACAGGAGAGTTCCTTGGTTTTGCTTTAGCTTTTTCCTCGCATTCGAAACGCGGTTAACATGCGGTTTTATAGAGAGTCTTCATCGACTCCTTGTGTCTTTTACAGTGACCAAATAAACCGTTTTGGTAACTACATGACACTTACGATCGACTAAAAATTATTTTCACCGGTAGATGTGATTCAAACAAAGAAACGATCCTCTCAGATGAGTGGTAGTGAAAGAATTAGCGGGAAAGACGCCTGAAAAAAATTCAGGCTTCTATGGAATCCGAACCGAATCTCAAAGTGATACTTGTTTGGCGCCCCCACCAGCTGATCTACGAAAAAATATTTTGGGAGCAAGGTGAGTTTCCGTGGTGCATGAATTTGTTTAGGCTTCTTTTCTGCATTTTATTTAATTGCAGAATATTTACGAGGATCATTTATTTTCAAACTGCGCTCCAACTATAACGTGATGGCCGTACCTGGGACACAACTTTCTTCGAAGAACTTTGCAGCCGACAAGTAAGCGTTCGACTCGTTTCCACAGGCCACAGCCGGCATAATCTTTGATCGAAGCAGAAATCCTACAGCCACTTTCCAACCTGCGGTTCTCCCAGCTCCAGTGTGACAAGACTTCTTTCCTCTGAGGCTCTTTAAGTCGAAGCCTGTGTTATTCTTTCTTACCACAGCAACTGCATAATACTTGACCCCGTATTCGCCATATTGTTCAGCAACGATGACTTTGAAATCGTGCGATTTCCCTGTATCGAGAGAACATGACGTAGCGATAAAAAAACAACTCTTGTTGATTATCACGGGTTGCCTGATGGAGTTGAGTTTTCCAGCGGTATTCCTCCCAATAATCTTTAGTAAACGAACTAGTTTTAGCCTGATTTTTATGGTGAGAATAAACAGCTGGGAATATCGGGGAAGAATAGTAGTCTTGTGAGGATGACGACTTCTTGAAAATGTACTTTTACGTTAGCTTAGCGTGATCTTTAATTATACGACTACGAGCTGTCCCTCTTTTTCAGCGAATTCCGTCACGTGGACTTCAGCAAAAAAATCAGAAAAAAAACATACAAACAAAATGTGGCACACCGCGCGCACTCTATGAAAAATGCCTCATTCCCGTAATCCCAGAGTTCCGCGCGGGACGCTAGCCACTATTTGATTTTTCCCCAGCTTTTCTTTTAGACAGGGAATGCCCGAAGTCTACTTGATTCTTTTCAAGCCAGCCAGACGATCTTGTTACACTAATCGGTTAATTTTCGAAGTATTGACGGATGTGTTTTTTGGTGTTTCTACCAAATGACTTGCAGTTTCGATATTTGAAAGGATCTTCCTCGAAACCATAAGTGAAATTTTTCTATTTGGGTTATATGACTTATTTCCGCAATTAATGCAGCTTTAGAAAATTGACAAGACGCCATGTTAGTCCCCCTCTGTCAACTAGCCTTAGAATTCAATCGTCAAGTATCAAAATATTTGTCATGTGTGCGGGAAAAAGAACAACGAAGTGCGAGCTGCTCATTTCTTGTTTACTAGTAATCACGGTCTTTGCTCACGAGTGTATGTCAGAATCCCTCAAGCCTGGTTACTCATCGTAAAGGGAATCTAAAACTTACCAGCTTCGTGAATGTTTCCACCATCCAGCGTCACCAGGTCGGCCTCCTTTTTGATGATTTTTTTTATGCAATCATCAGCGCTATTTCCGTTGACGCAACTTGCAGCCACATTCAAATTCATAGTTTGAGCCATCATCTTAACATGATTTGTAAAGTTAGAACACTTGGCTCTCTCGTGTGACAAGGCGCACCATCTAAAACTGATAGGGCCTGAAAAAGAAAAACCTTTGACAGTTGCATCCCTGGATAGTTTTCTGATCAAGCAAAAAGTATCAGTGCCTGTGGGTCTAGCAAAGGAAGATGAGAACAAACCGAACTTGGGATACACGCGAGAGCAAGAGCATGCATCTCGCTCTTCGTGTTCCCACGCGCTTTCCTCCTGCTTCCCTTCACTCTTCGGAAAATTGTAACAAAAGACATCTGTTCCACTACAATATTGGGAACTGAAATTACAATGTTGGCATCTGAAATTACAATATTGGCAACTGAAATTACAATATTGGCAACTGAAATTACAATATTGGCAACTGAAATTAAGCCTGTGGGAGTAACAAAGGACCTAGGAGTGCACATCGATTGTTATCTTAACTGTAATGAGCATATTACTAAAACTGCCTCTGACTGTATGTTTAAACTAACGAGGGTCAATAGGATAAAGCACCTTTTGGGTCAAAGAACCCTGATTTATCTGATAAAAGCTTTCGTCTTTTGCAAATTATTTTACTGTTCGACAGTTTGGAACAACACCAGCAAAGAGAATATTAGAAAACTTCAGTTTGTCCAGAATTACGCCTGCAGGATCGTAACTGGCTTAAATAAGTATGATCATATTTCAGAAGCCCTGAAGTCCTTTAAATGGCTTAATGTGAAGGGAAAACTGCTCTTCATCGACTTAGTTATGGTTTACAAATGCATGAACAACTTGACTCCGGACTATCTTCGTGAGCGATTTCAACACCGTTCTGAAATTTACCAAAGAGACACCAGGCAAAAGAACGACCAGACGTTGCCCAAAGGCAGAATCTCGACTGGCCAAAGGGCTTTTGCCTACCGTGGGGTAAAAATGTTTAACTCGTTACCAGAGGAGATCAGAAACACAAAAGCCTTAACCTTTTTGGAGAGAAGTATTTTTTATAAATATTTTAATTCATAGATCATAAGATGATATTTTTTATTATCGAAATGTAAGCTGTTTTTATAATTTATATTTTTAACTGTAACTAGTTTTTTTTCTTTTTCCTTTTTTCTTTGTAACTTGATGTTTTGATTTTCATATGTGGCGGAGGAGCCCCCAAGGGGGAGCTATGCAATAAAGTATGTAGGTAGGTAGGTAGGTATGTACATGGTTTACTTCTATTAAAGACTGACTTCCGCACTTTTCTAAAATTAATTTGGCATCAGTGGAAAGAGATTTAGCATCGACTATGGGCGGCCGTCACCACCAAAAATATACAAATATACAAATACAAATGTAGAATACAAATATACAAAATATACAAATACAATATATACAAATATACAAATACAAATGTAGAATGTTACAGCGTAGACACAAATAGTGTAGCGTTATGTCGAATAGCTTTGCAGAACATCAGACGCTCCATCTAACCATTAAATTGCTTAGTATTACTTGAAATATTTCGAAGTTGCGGCGAATCGTCGAGCTTGCTTGTGGCGTGACGTGAAGGCTATGTCATTCCTTTATTAGCTATGCTATCCTGCAGCTGATCCTTAAACCATCTTTGTATTTGCTGATCTATTTGACATCTTTGTATTTTTGGTAGTTACGGCCGCCAAGGCTATCTCGCCAAAACCACCAAAATTGCATTCTCCTCTTTTTTCCCAGCCGATATTGCATTTATTCGTTGTCGTTCATGAAAGCGTCAATTAAAATAGTAACGAGACTGAATTCTACCACGGTTTGGCGGCCTCCCGGTTTACCACAGTTCGCACGCGTTGGTGGGCCTGAACATATTAAGTAGTGTTATGACGTGCATTAAATGTCGATTGTCGAGCTCTCTTTTCTTTTACTGTCTCACGTTTACTTTTCAATAAGAGTTCAACTTCAACGGCTCTTTGAACATTAGAGGAGTACGTGAGAAGTTGGATTTTGTGTGTGCCCTGGACGCCATGGTAAGAAAACTGATATCCGTGATCTGTTTTGACATTTTTCAATTAAAGTGATATCGAAATGCTTTAATTGGTGAGCCGGACGATAAAACCAACTCGGAAAAAAAGGCGCTTTGGCAAACACTACATGTTTGATTGAAAAATGTCAAAACAGATCAAGGATATCAGTTTTACTTACCTATAAACATTCAGGCTCACCAACGCGTGCAAACCGTGGTAAACCGGGAGGCCGGCAAACCGGGGTAGAATCCGGTCTCGTTGCTATTTTAATTAACGCTTTCATGAACGACAACGAATAAATGCAATATCGGAGGGGGAAAAAAGGAGAAACTTACTAAATGGCTCTGCTTTACGGGAAGGCGAAGTGAAGAATCTTAAACACAGCGACTACACCATGTCATGGTTTCGCGACAGTCTTCACATTCGATGACGTCATGCCCCCCAGCAGGTCGCTGTTCCATTTGCGGTTTGTATTTTTGGTGGTTTCGGCGAGATAGCCTTCACGTCACGCCACAAGCAAGCTCGACGATTCACCACAACATCGAAATATTTCGTGCAATGCTAAGCAATTTAATGTTCAGATACAGCCTCTGATGTTCTGCAAAGCTATTCGACATGACGCTACACCATTTGTATGTACGCTGTACCATTCGACATTACGCTGACCCATTTCACGCAGCGCTACACCATTTGTGTGTACGCTGTACCATTCGACATTACGCTGAGCCATTTCACGCAACGCTACACTGTTTGTGTGTACGATGTACCTTTCTACATTACGCTCAGTCATTTCACGCAACTCTACACCATTTGTGTGTACGCTGTACCATTCGACATTACGCTGAGCCATTTCACGCAACGCTACACTGTTCGTATGTACGCTGTACCGATCTACATTACGCTGAGCTATTTCACGCAACGCTACACCGTTTGTGCGTACGCTGTGCTACTCGACATTACCCTGTGCCATTTGACGCAACGCTACACCGTTTGTGTACTGTATTGCAAATGAGCGCTAAGCTATTCGTAGTTGAGATAGTCCATTTCACAATTTCATCAACTCGACCTAGGCAAGTGGACCGTTTATCATTTGGCTAGACTATTCATGTTTAGGGTGTTCTGTTTCATGAAGGAAAACTAAATCGTGTATAATTTGGCCATGCCATTCCTTTATTAGCTATTCTATCCTGTATATTTAAACCAGCTTTGTGTTTGCTGATCTATTTGACATCCTTATATTTTTGGTGGTGACGATACAACAGGAATGTATAAGTTACCCTTAACTTCGCTTCGTGATTGGTCTAGAAAAAGTCGTGCCACCCAGTTGACCAATCAGACAAAAACTTAAAACGTATCGTGAACAGACTATTGTTCCATATGACAAGGAGCGTCAAAAAGCTATCAGTATCATGCTCTGAGGAAAAGTAATTAGCCGACCTCGTCTCTTGGGTCTATGATTAGGAAGCCCCGGGAAAGAAGAGTGATTTCTTGGCGAAAAAATCTTATTCTCCATCTGCTTTCTCTGCAAATCCAGACAACCCCGTGTTTTCCATCATTACCCGATGTGCAAGAGCAGATATTTTGCCTAGCCACTCGAGAATCACTCTAACTTATCAACTATTTCCGCCCGTACGTGATGGTGAGTTTCAGTAAAATCCAATTACAAAAGATATTTTCTTTCACTTTGTACTCATAAACTCCCTATGGAATAAAGACATAAATGAGGAAAGATTCCTTCTCTTTCTATTGAGCCCGAGAAAAATAAAATCTTTACTAAATACACAAATAGCTCGATCTCTGCATTAGTCATCAAATACTGTGCCCATACAGGACTTGAGCTTCAGATCTAACTGAATTAATTCGTTGTTGTTGTTCTTAATAATTCAATCGGCGTAGACTAGTAGACAGGAAAAGCTGCTAGAATTTTATATGTGTTTAGGTTACATCTTTTAAGAAAAGGCAAATCATTTGGCACGACCCTCAAACAAGAACGAGTGTGAATTATCGTTTCCACAAACTACGAATAATGCCAAAGTATCTAAAAAAAACTGACCATGCTCACCAAGAAGGTGACATTTACTTCACATCAAAGGATCTTAAAATAAATTTCTTGTAACTCCTTAAGCTCCTCAGCTAGAGCAGACAATTTTCAAGCTTGAAAGTTGCCGTTGCAACTTCGTTATTGCGTGTGTACACGAACAACGTTTTCAGCACGATATTACTACAATATGTCGCTGCGATATCGCAAAGTTTTCGAACCAAGTTAGGGCTTGCAGCCATTCCAAGCGATGTCTGTCGCGAGGATATGATAACACGCACAAAACCAACGAACAATCGAAACCGAGCTTGGACTTGTAATTATAATTGAAAGGAGGAGAAGTACCTTAGCTTTAGTACATGCTTCCAACAAATAAGCTGAGCCGATGAAACGAGCAACAACACTGACAAAGCGAAATCTCCTTCGACATTCAGTCTTATTTTGTGTTACTAAATCATGCAAGTGAAACACTTAAGGAAAGAAGGCAATGAGGAAGAAAACTCAATTATGATATCTTTGTGATAATCGTAACAATGAAAGGTTGGCACACCTGAATATGCATAGTGGACGGTGATAAAGAGCATCAGAACGATCAGAATCCTCTCCATGTTTGATGAAACCGTTGAAACACCAAGACAACGCCTCATTCATTCCTCAATCTCACATATTGATTGCTGAAACTCGATAGGTCATTTTGAACTCGACCCACTCTTGTCATGTTTGGCTTGCCAAAGTTACTGTCGCATTAAACTAATATCCTTTGACCAAAATTTCACCGACTAATTAATGCGTCAAACATAAACTGATCTCTCTCTAAGAAGAGAGAGAAAAAAATTTTGCGCGAAGTGATCCTTTTTTCCTGCTGATTTTTTGGGTTTTGGTTGACACTTGCGCTACATATGCTGACTTCAATACTTGCAACGGAAGGATAATTTCTTGTTAAAGCCATATTTTCTCCATGTTGCTGCCAGTATAACCGTACCCAGGGTGCGAGTCACAGACATTTAAATAAAAACGGCGCTCAAATTCGTTTTCCTCAAAAGAGAGGGGGTCAGATCCTGCCATTACGCGTCAAACTAAACAAGCGGACTTGTATTTTCTTTTTCCCCGATGAAGTCTTATCCAGACATATCTTGCATATCATGACAGCTAAATGGTTAAAAAAAAAAAGGAAAATTGATGTTTGTTTTGAAGGGGGAGGGGGAGGGGAAGGTTCAATACTCCCACTGCTGGTACTATCATATTAACAACATCAACCCCTCGTGTTTTCCCTTTCTGCGTTTGGATCGAAGTTGGATGAAATGAAACCTGTAAATTTTAGCTCAGTCGTCTCATGACCAAGAAAGAAAAACTTTTTTCACAAGTTTACGACACAGAAGAAAATCTGACCACTCCGTGAGGATTTGAAGCTTAGATCTTTTGATCTTCCGACTTTGCTGATCGAAGGCTCTGTCAGAGGTTCAGCGATAGCCGGAGCGTTCGACCGTGAGATTTGAAGGTCGGAGGCTCGAATCCATGAAGGTTCGGCTAAGCTTGCAAGGAAGTCTCAACATCTTCCGTTACGAAATTAAGTCGTTTCATGAAATTTTTATTTGTAGACTAGGAATTCGAACTAGACAAAGAATTGCAATCTGCAACTCCTCAATGGCTAATAAACAGTCAAGTTAAATGAGATCGAAGGGGTTCCATCTTCACATTGACCATTCTTAAGTATCTATAATGTAGAGTATTACGTAGTCAGCAGTTAACAACATGTGTACAGTTCTCACTTCTAATGGCTCACGTAAAACGTGCTTTCCAAATCTAACCTCGAGGCTAACTATGGCGGTTACTAAGTTTGTTTCCTCTTCAGCTCCTACATGAGCAGAGCGTTCAGCGCAGCTGTAAACAGCATGAGTGTGGTGACGGGCGAAGTCGCGGAAGAAGTAGAAACGATTGCATCGCAAGATGTCAGCGCCTTCACATTTTTGCCATAAATGTCTCCAAGGTAACCCATATAGTTCTGTTTATCCACCGCTATACCTTTGAGTGCTGTAGTTGCATCTTTAAAGATCAAATCTTCCCCGTTGTTATATTTGGAGGAGTTGAAGAGCTGGAACTTATTCCAGTCAGTCTGAGTCTTGCCGTACTTGTCACTCATGGCCTTTAAGATTTTAATGATGTCTTCGATGTCAGAGTTGTCCTTCCTTGTAACCACTGCATGCGCAGGACTTGCGCCGAGATTGCATTCCTTGTATCCTCCAATCTCTGAAAATGATTGGAAAGATCTTGTATGATATATACTGCCAAAAACTCTGCCAAGCAAAATCCGTACCCCTTACTCAATGCTTAGACCCTAAATAGTCACAGAAGATGGGGGATTTCCCACATTTCTTTCCTACTAGATACGCGGATTCATTGCTGTTGTAAGGGGCGAGAATTTGACCCTAGGAAAAATTGAATCTCGTAGAGATCTGTCGACCAACGTAAAAACAAGCTTTGAACCAAATTTTAGGAGACTAGAAAATGAGTGCGGCGATAGAAGGAGGAGAGAGAATGGAGTACAAATGCCCGAGGTTCGTCGTTTCCATGGTAATCGTTACTTCGGGGTTGCAGTGTATCATACCTTAGCAACTGAACGAATTACACTGAATTTTGGAGTAATCATGCATTAAAATCATTCACAACTGGTAGCCCGTGTAGCGGAATTGCCCCATGATGAGACAACTTCATTGATGTGTAACAATTCAGGACGAAGTTATTTGCACGCGTATCAGGGGAGATATAATTAGAACAGACAGCCGCTGTTTGAACTTACACTGAGAAAGCTAAAGGGCTTGAATTTTTTTTTATCTTTTTAATTTTATATATTTATTTTACGCTATCAGTGTTTGTATATGAAAGGAATACAAATGGGTACTAACAAATTATCAGGACAATTAGCAGAAATGCGGTGGATAAAGTGTGAAAGACAGCATCCCGTCCAGGGTCAATAGCAATTTTTCACGTACTTCGTGGCACAGAAATATTTTACGCTCGAGCAGCAGTGATACAAGCCAGTTGTGTATAACCTTAATCTTCATTAATGTATACATTACCCATCCTCCCTCCATTCTGGCACAAGAACTGGTAGTCGTTTTGATTATCCTTATCATAAAAATCGGCTGGTGAGTCCACCTGGAGCTTTACAAAAGCCACGTCGCCCTTCCCATCCTTCATACATTTGAAGGCACCTTTATGGCTGACGTATTCATTAACTGAAGAGTTTGTAGAGCACTTGCCATTTCCAGTACCGGCGCACAGACTGCACAGGTTTTTGACCTTCTCGTATGCAGCTGCACTAACTTTATCTTTGGTACCTAGCAAACCAAACAAAATTGAAAGGACAAATAAAAAAATGGAATCTTACGGTTGGACTGTAATCGAAGACATTTCAAAGACTGAAAAAGCTGTGTTGCCTTATTGATCATACTGATATATGCTTAGACATTGTTATATTTTTTGATTAAGGAAAAAAAAACGAATAGCTGCCATCTACCTCTTTAATATTGTCTTAAGGGACCCACTCACTATACGCGAAAGGAAGTTTGCGGAGTTCTCGATTTTGAGGTCTTGCTTTGTGAAGAAAATTTAAAATTGACGTATAGCGGCGGCTTGAGGCAGTACAAAAATACTAAGCAGACATCGTGAGGCAGGAAATTTATGCACTATCCACTTTCCTTCTTCTGAATTATCACTATAGCAATAGAACAGAGCGAATTCGATTACGCATGTTCACGAACGAACCTGGGACACAGCTCTCACTGAAGAACTTTGAAGCTGAAAAGTAGGCCTTGTATGGGCTCTTACAATCCACGGGATCCATGATCTTTGAGCGTAGAAGATATCCCACGGAAATTTTCCAACCTGCATTCTTTTCAGCCTGAGTGTGGCAAGACTTCTTCCCTTTAAGACTCTTTAAGTCGAAGCCTGTGTTACTCTTTTTCACAATGGCAACACTGTAGTATTTCACGTCATACTCGCCATACTGCTCAGAAACAATGACTTTGAAGTTATATCTTTCACCTGTATCGTAAGATGTCGGAAGAATGTGAAACAACTCACGCATAAGCTGCAAATTTCTTAATTGCCCTATCAAATATTGAATATTAGTATATACTACAACAGTGGATAGCGTTGAAGGCGCGCTCTGATTGGCTTCTCAAACTCCGAATATCCTAGCTATTCTTCTCCCAGCAATGTGCGCGGGATTTGCACCCGAAAATAATGTAATCGTTACAAGAATAAATGTGTTAAAATTATCTTTTGGTGCCATATTAACTCATCGTTTTAGTTTATACTAAAACAAGTTTAAGGCCAGGGATTCATGCGTTCGAAATCAGGCCGTTTCGCGTGGTCGTCATTTTTGAACTTGGTATTCAAAAATGGAAAAAAGGGATTAAAATGAAATAAAAATACAAACAAAAAACGAAACAGAAAAATTTTCACTGAAACAAATTAGCTTTTTACTCATTTGTTTTTATGGAAATCTATACATCTAAGGTCAAATGACGATTTATTGAAAATCTTCAGTCCATTTTTCTTACTGAAAATCCACGGAAGATGAAAGATATTTACCAGCCGGGTAAATCCAGCTTCAACTTACCCGCTGAGTAAGTGTCTCCACCACTCAATGTCACCAGATCAGCCTCGCTGTTTTTTATCTTTTCCATGCAATCGTCAGGGTCAGTTCCATTGACACAACTTGTTTTAACAGCTAAGCTCATGTTTTGAGCAGTCATGTTTACGTGTTTCATAAAGTCATCACACTTGGTTTTTTCCCCAGGCAATGCGCACCATCGAAAATAAATTTCTGCAGAGAAAACTAAAAAATATATTCTTTGAAATCTTAATCCTCCAAAGTTATCGTTCATTCTTCAATCAGGTGAATTCAGCACTAGGAAAACCTATTCTTCACCCTTTAACTACCAAGATCTCATTGTTAATTATCCTCTCTAGCAATTACCTGTTTGCTGGACAATGTATCAATATTATTGAGAGAAATTACATGCTAATATTTGATTGGTTTGGACTTGTGCCACTCCTGTAACCAATGGCCGTGTCTGATGATTAGCCTTTGCCTTTTTCTTTATTTAATCATCACTGAGAGAATTATCGATTTCTTTGGAACATACTGCAAACTCTAAGATCTAAAAGGCTATTATCATTTTAATCCTAAACGGGTCGAACCTCTTGCCTCAGTTCACTGTTTCCATCCTAATTTCAAGTAATGAAGACGTTTTTCTGATTTCGTTCAGAATCTTTTCAGCGTTCCATAGCGTCAGAAAACAAATAGTAATTTCTTAAACGATATGAGTATCGAATCGTTGCTTCACTCTTTTCGACTGCGCATCTTTCACGGACAGTTTCGTAAAGATCATTTTTCGATCTCCATGGCGGTGGCCTTGCGTTGGTTTATCGACCATAACTTACAATTTTATCATTTGATTTAGCGTCCAAAATATTTCGCAAACGCTTGAATAAAAAAAGAGTAGAATTTGTGGAATTGTGTAAGAATCGTAAAATTAGAAAATGTGGCGAATCGTTTAACAGGATTCAGAGAATCGGAAAAGGTTTAAAAGGTAGTCAAAACGATAAAAACGTAGAGGCCAGGAACGCGGGAAACTGATTAGAAAATCGACTTCAATGACATTTTGGGGACACATATCAAACTGTATTTTACTGCTATTTAACATACCGTATTTACCCGTGTATAAGTCGACCTTTTACTGCCTAAAAATCGGTCCAAAAAATCGCCCTCGACTTATACATGGGTCAAAATCTGAGATAAAAAAACTTTCAGGACAAATTAGCATAATAATTGTCTGATATGTAAACAAACAATCCACTTTTACACGGTACAAGTTCCGATGTCTTTTCCCCGCACAACTCGAGCAGTCTAAGTTTAAAAGCTTAAGATTAAATAAAGAACTGATAGTTGCAGCCAATAAAGTGGTAAGTCCGCTCGACGAAAGCCACATTTCTTGCTTCGAAGTTTTGCTGCTTAGTAACCTGGCTTTGTATCGTGCGAGCGCGAGGACTTTGTTTAGCACGTCTTCCAATAAAATGCTGGTTGGCAGGGTTTTTGTTTTGGTTGTTACGCGCCTTTACACAACGATAAAGGTTCGTTAGAAAGTAGTATGTTTGATTTTGTAAGCTAATTTCAAAAATTGTGAAGAAAATGCTGCTTACACGTGTCGCTAAAACACGCTAAAACGCTCGCGTACACGCAATAATAAACTTCATGTCCAAACTTGCTGTGATTTTTTTCATATAACTATAGTACCTGAAAGAAAATTCTAGGAAATATAAGATTAGTTTTTCAAGGAAATTCTTGCCCAGAAATAAGAAAAACTTATTTTTGGACTCCAAAATGGGGGGTCGACTTATACACGGGTTCGACTTATACACGGGTAAATACGGTATTCTCCGACTTAGCACTTATTGCAGTCTAACGATTTTTGAGGGAGTTTGCTCTTGTAATGGTTCATTGCTGCTAACTGGTCGTCTGAATACATAAGTTCAATTCAGTAACGAAGTTCTGCCGGAATGGAAAATCATACACAGATAATAGGCCATTACGGTTCTAAAGATCCTCGGAAAGTAAAGTACAATTGTGGTTTAGTAACACAGTGAGCTTTAGAACAACACCTTTACACGAGTGTGGCAAAACACTTTAAGAGCCCTTGGGCAAGAGTCTCAAAGTTTATCGAGGCGTTTCGTCGACTATTTCAAATAGAGTATAGCACATTCGTGTTTACATTCTGCCTTCGCAAAGATCTCAATCTCAACTAGCGTAAGTTTTGTTTTCCTGTAGCAATCTTTTCTCCAAAAGTTAGACGCAGTTTTTCACTTCCGAAGCGGAAGTTCTGTCGTTAAACGACTCTTCTATTGTTCTTTTTCAAACATGATGCTATAGATTCGCCCTGCGGTTAAGCAGTTTCTTCAATGTGTATAAGTTTTGAACGCTTTTGAGTTTCTCTGCAAGTCAAGTTGCACCCGAAGAAGAGGAGCACAAACTGAACTGGGGCCGGTACAAGCAGTCTATCTTGCATCTAAAGAAAAGACCGGAATCACCGAATACCCTTCTTCGTCGTGATGAACTTGAAAATACATTCTTTATGGTGTGGGATTTTATGAGAGTAGCTCATGTTTTGCATAATGACCTAATGGTGTGGAATGAGCGTGAAAACTCTCTTACTGACTAATTACACTTGAGCCAATCAGAAATCAGTACAAGCAAAGTGCACTATATTTAGGTTAGACGAGTTTGGGCACGAAACGCGTGTTTCGTAGCTAGACGTAGTCTTTCGATGGTTGTTGAGAGAGTAAAGTTTCGTCAAAAAATATGCGTGAGGTGCACCACGATCTGAGTGACCTCGAATCAAAAATCCTTATCTGGATCATTCCAAAGGTTCATTCATTAATCCTGTCTATAATGCGAATACTTTTTTTTCGTTTGTGGTTCGTGATGTTTAAAATATCTCGCTAGTTTCGTTTTAAGCGGTAGAACATTAACATGGAAGAAAGCACATAATTTCAAATTCTATCAATATTGAGTGACAGCACATTCTATAAATCTTTCTGAAATGAATGAGATCGCAGAGAGTATCACTTGATTTCTACTCTAAAGGAAGGCCCTATCAGCAGCTTCTAGAGAAAATATCTAAACCTACCAACTGCCTAATCTTCTACGCCAGATATTTATTAGAGTTTCGATATTTATTAGAGTTTCAAGTTTCAAGCGCTTAGGTGCGAAACTAAGAGTCACAGAGAATCGATGCGTCCTCTTTAATTCTTTAACTTATGTATACTTAGCTCTGCTACCACAGCATTGAGCACTTTATGCCAAGGTAGACTCTACCTCCACATTAATTTATAATTTTGAGGTATATATAAAATTCTAAATCTTTTCTATCAGGAAACTCGCTTTTGTGTACCAAAGACAATCTATAAAATTTCCACGAGTCAAAATCTCAGTCATGCTTCACAATAAACAGAATCTGGATGGCAGAAGTTCGATAGCTCGAAAATGCGTAATGGATAGTGAGCAAAAGCAAACAAACGAATCGAATATTCGCCATTTTTGTTTAAACAGTCAGTTTCGACTGCGACGAAAGAGAGTTAAATATTAGAAAACCTTCTTTTAAACGGCTATAGGCACATCCACCTCAAAACTAAAACCTATGCCCCACTTCTTCTTTGAAAGCTTTCCTCTAAACTGGTGAAATAAACACGAAACTTTCTGTCTCTCTGAAATTGCGTATCAATTTTAATTAAATCACGCTGGTTTGCAGGAATGCATCGCACCAACATCGGTTTGAAGAAGCAGCGCGTTTGGCTGTATGTGTGCTTTCAAAGTTTAAACTAAAATTTGGACAAAAGTTGCATAAAATTGCGCGCAAATAATCACCTGTTAAAAAGTGATACAACTTAAAAAGAAATTCACTTCCGCCACAGAAACTATCCCCCACAAATTGAAGCAGCCGCAAATGTTGAAGGTTGAATCAGAACGTTTTCAACCTTTATCAAAACAGCACTGATGCAACGGCGTAGATTTCAGACAAGACACATCGAAAAAAGGCTTGCTTACCTGAAAATGCGTAATGGATAGTGAGCAAAAGCAAACAAACAAATCGAATATTCGCCATTTTTGTTTAAACAGTCAGTTTTGAAGCACTCAGACACCGCTTCGAACTGACTCGTCGATCTGCGGGGGCTTAAAATGTATAGCCAATAAATCTAATGGAGGGTGAAGTTTTGCTTGGCAACAAAATGCATCACAACTAATCAGATGTCAGAGAAAGTGATTGTACGATGTGTCTGAACACGAATATTGCCCTGATTTGCGCACTGATGCAAATAAACAAATTCGTCTCGAACTGTTTTCTCACAACTAACGGACCTGAGCTGAGCACAATTATCGGTTACACGGAAAAAAATCGAGTATAACAGGAATAGACAACTCACACCCCATTCAAGCATAACAGAAAATACGTTTAAGCGATAAGTGATATCATCAAAGGTAATTTTTGGTTATGGCCAAGCAAGGATAGTTTACGGCGAGCTTTTTTAACCTTGCCAGATATCTGCTAAACAAGGGTGTTTTTTTTTTATAGGAAAGGATGATAATGTATAAACGAACATGAGCATTATTTAGACAACATAGCACCCAAAGTTGTGTCACCGATTCTCGTGTGCTTTATTTTTAAATTTGCGTTTGACGAAACACAGCTTTGTAGAATGAAGAAACTTGCCACATGCGAAAACTGCATCAAGGTAAAGAAGAATCTAAGCTCAGGAGTATGGTTAGACCTGTAGGAGCAGGAAAAAAAATTGCCGTTGGTTTTGACGTCTGTTTTTCTTTAGGCGTTTTTGTATTGTTGAGGTTCAACTGCATTGCTTCCTCGGACCGTGAGTCTTTTAATTTATTTACCTATTCATTCGTCCACGTTACTTTGACCGAAGACACTGTGGTCGCCATTTTGAAAGCCTGCTGGCTTATAGGTCGGACAAGTTAATGAAGTGAGAAGTTTTTGGCCCAGGTGAGAAAGAAGGACGGTTCGGATTATGAACCCGACAGTTTGCGGGTAATATCAGCGTCCCTGTAAGGAAGCAGGCAGCAGTGTTGCTATTGCCAAGCAAAGAAAGGTTACTAACAGCCGCAAAGTCCCCGGATGAATAGCTTGCATCCTTCTTGAGCACAAATGTACACTCGCTAATTCGCGGCTCGTGATATTTTGGTGGATTTTGAAATATCACTCGCGTTGTTTATCATAAATAACCCGCAGAAACCATGCTTTTTCTGATACTAAAGATTACGCTGATGATTGTCATATGATGGTATTAAAAATAGTGCTACATATAATAGTTATGATAATTAATGGGTAAGTTCGTGTAGAGTTCAGCGCACCTGAACGTCACATGGAGAGTGAAATCTAAGTTGACATACGTAATCTTAGAAGGGAAAAATTCATAAATCTATAAACGCCTGTATTTCGTTGGTTAGCTAAAATCTTTTGGCAAACAGCGGTGTTATATTTATCTACAATCAAACCTGTATTAAGCGGTCATCCTGTAATTTAATTAAGCGACCAGTTTTCAAAGTCTCGAAATTCTTTTCCACTTAAACACTGCAATTTTCACTTCTATCAAGCGTCTGTGGTCACACTTTATTTATTTAGCCCCAAAGACGTGTTTGCAATATCTTCTACCAGTTAGAAAGGTCACTTAAAGCGAAACTGCTTATTAAATAAAACTAAGCAAAACTTTCAAGTATATTTAATCTATGTTTATCTCCCGCAATCAATACTAGTAGTAATTTTTTCAAGTTGAGTACATGTAGTGATCAATTATGAGATAAAATAGGGTTTTTTTTATCGTTTTCTATATACAGGTTCCTCTTTACCGAGGAACCTGTGAACCCGTATTAAGAGGGAAACCTGTCTTTACATGTTTTTTTGTTTTTTATCATAATTGCCGTAATACCGATCAATCTAAAATTGTAGTCTTCATGACAGATGTGCATCGTTACTGCCTGTGCGGCGTTTGACGATGTTGACTTAGGAAATATCACGGGTCAGAGGTCGATAAAAATAATTTCCTGAAAATTAGAGTAACACTGCAGTAGAGAGTTTTTCTCATCTTAACCTTCATCTAATTTCAAAATCCAAGATGGTTTACAAATACGTCGCAAGTGCATCGCTGCATGTTTTGTTGCAAGATAAACCCGTGTAAAGTGGCGTTATCCTCGAATTCAGAAAGTAAACGACTAAACTTCTGCCGTTACAAGTCTTTCTCAAAGTATTTATCGGATTCTTGCCATTTGAACAAAAAAAAACATAAAATAAGGAATCTAAACTACATTCTTTAAATCATGCTGCAAGGAGTAAACTTGTCGAAAGGGAATATTAGCAACCGGAACTATTCAAAAGATGTGTCATAGGGGAAATCCACCTCTAACGCACACTAACATCTACTGGTAACTTTCGCGTCGTCTTCGGTTCAAGCTTTACGGGGTGGAAACCACTCGATACCTCAGTCACATGTATTTATGAACATCACGTGCCAAGGGCTTGGGATTCATATAAAAAGGAACAAACTAGCGGATATGTAATGTGCTCGTGACTTAGCAGCCGGCAGATAGAAGAAGTAGACATCATCAAACGTTACGATCAAATTAAATACCTACAGTGTAATCAGTCCTGGCATTATTAGAGGTTTTTTTAAGGTGAGTTGATTAATAAATTGTATTAAATTCTGCTCAGTTTTGTCGCCTTATTGTCAACTATTGAAATAACGAAGCCATTATCTGTGTAGAGAATGAAATAGCTCAAATTGGGCATACGCTGTTTCATTCAAGCAGTTCTTTCTGATTCATTCAGAAGTTCACTCAGTTATAAAAAAGGAGAGCAAATTTTACGTTAGGTATGTTCAATAATGACTTTAAAACACGAACTTTCTGAGTTGGAAGGAAGCGAAAGAATTAAAGACAGTTCAAGGGATTGTGTCTGACGCAGTGAAGTTATTCATGTATCCAGTGCCCACGTAAAAAGTTTTTAGTTAAAAAAGGAACCGCACTTCGCTTTGTGGACCATTACTCAACCATCTAAATTGATTTATTTCAATTGCGATGCCTCTGGCCTGTAGAGCAGATGTAACTTTGGCGAGCGAGTGCTCAGTATTTTCTTAGCGACAGTAATGGCTGCCTTCTTTGATTTTTAATTCTTTACTTGATATCATCTTCAAATGTCCTTTAACTGCCTGGAAAATCGTTAACTTTTTGGATCTCTCTTGCAGGAAGCCGGTCAAGTATCAACTTCCAAGATGGCACAAAGCGATGAAAGCCCTCCCAAGATACTGATAGAAAGGATACGCATCAACAGCACACTACTTACAGTTGTCCTCGCCATTATTTCCGTAGTAACCACGACAGGAAACCTCCTAGTAATCTGGACTATCTATAGGAATCCGCGCTGGGAACAACGGACCGTTTCCAAATTGCTTGTAGTGAACCTCGCTGTGGCAGATTTGATGGGTGGCCTCTTGGGTGAACCACTTTTGATAATCAGTCATTTAGTGCTGAAAAACAGTCATAATGAGTTAGCGAATAATTTTACGACCGCAGCTGGAGTGGTGCTCATCTTAACGATGGCCGCTTCAAGTTGTACAATTTACAACCTTACATTAGAGAGGTACCTTTCTTTGGAGATGCCTCCGTGGCGAGAGAAGCTGTTTACTGGTTTGCCTGGGAAGCTCAGCATTTGTTGTATTTGGAGTTTTGCATTACTTATAGCCTTTCTTCCAACTCTTATTGGAAAAGTGGATATGATTAAACTATTTCATTCCGGCTTTTTTGTCTTTGTTGCAATTGTTGTAATCGGTTTGTACATGCGCATGTTCATAATCATCCGAAAATTCAACAAGACGCCTCTCACACAAAGAATTAATCAGCCACTTGTTCAACCTGGGCATGCGTATACTGCAGCGAAAAGACGAGAGCATTCATATGTCAAAGACATGTTTCTCTTTGTTGGAGTATACGTAGTGTGTTACCTTCCTCTTTGCATCGCTAGTTTTAATAGTTATTCTTCTATATCAATAGTAGCAGAAAAAACTGGTTTGATCTTACTTGCGTTCTTGAACTCCGCTCTCAATCCAGTTCTCTACACATTTACAATGCCACGTCACCGACGCAAAGTAAAGAAGATTCTTGATGGTTTAATTAGAGCGCTCCGTTAGTCTCTTTGTAGGTAGAAAAGTGAGCTTTATGGAGCTTAACCCAACGGCATGATAGCCGGCTCTTGTTCAAATAGGCTATCTATTGATGAAAATATGCTTTTAAACAACTGTTTTTGCTATTAACCAATTACGCTGGTCTAGTCTACAAACAACTGAAAATAATAGTTGACATTCACCGCTGAAGTCTTTTAATCAAGATGAGGATTTTTTGAGTCAGTTTTCATCTCTCACACGAAAGCCCATTTTTTGGCCTTGAAAGTACACCGTTATGATGTTCTACTATTTTAATAGCCCTGAACTTGATTAAACTCAACATAGTTGCCTTTTGATATATATCTAACAGTTGATAGCCTCAACATTTTGCCATATCTACTGAATAAGCTTTTGAAGAAATCAGACAAAGTTTGATGCTACTCTGGCTTAAAGATTTAATGAATGTAACCAAGAAGTTACAGTTCATAGACCCAACGTTTTAACACTCTTGTCTGGTACTTTCATAAGGGGTGATCTAATCGCTGCAACAAGAGGCCCATTTTTAGAACATTCTGTCAAACGAGGTTGAGCAGGTCACTAGTTGAAACAATTTTAATGCAATTATGAATCAAATAGGATTTATTATAAGAAATTTTATTGTAAAGTTGTTACTAAAATAGGCAAATGAACTCTTTAACTAATGAAAGTTCCAGTGCTATTTTTTCATCGTAGTTGTAATGCACGGCTCCTTAGCTGGGAGAACTACAAATAAAAATTTCACTCATTCATATTATAATGGTATCACCACCAAGTGTAGACCGAGTCCGCAGTACAAACAATTATCATAAAATTGTCCCTAAACGTAGCGGTTCAGGAAAGGAATCGTGCCGTTTGAAGCACAGTTTCCAAATTATTTTTAAAACCAGTGGGTCTTAACTTAAACTTGTTAGTACTTGGCCACTTAGCGCAATCTCTCTCTCTCTCTCTTCCCCTCTCTCCCCCTCCCTCCCGTTCGCAATCAGAAAGGAAAACACGAGCTGTTTAATTTCAAGGTATTTTCAGCTTATGACTCATATTGTCAGGCGCTATCAACAACCCTAGTCATCTTAAGCCTTGATATCGAGATATTGCGCGCACATCAATGCGTTGTTGGAGACCGTGATGGATCGACAGACAATGCAGAATGTTTCGTGCAACGGGCGGAGAGTGGTATATTCTTATCCTCGCAAGACGTTGAGATCCTTGTTTGAAAATCCGAGACCGAGGTTAGACAATCATTTTCATCTGTACAGCTCCATCTCTCTAATATTACTTTACTCATATTATTGAAAGGTTATTATTAGCAAGAACATCCCACGTCCGAGTGGAGATACACTCTTAATCAAGCGTTTTCTTTTAGTGATGCATCAACCCTGGCATTAGAATATCTTCAAACGGGAGCAATTACACGCAGAATTTCATCGTCGCCGGCGATTACTCCGAACCCCTCTAGCTCTCATCTGACCGAGAAGCTTGGCAATGGGGAAAAATCCCAGACTTTCACATCTTTGTGAGAAATGCCGATATGAAGTGTACCATCAAGAAATCATTTGGCACCAAGAGATTATGTGTGGCACTGCTTATATAGAATAGGGAGACTTCGAGACACATCGAACAATCTGATGAGACCCCGAGATCGGCTGAAAAAGTTGAATTTCTCATCAGAGAGTTGCGTGACATTACAAATCTGTTGATCAACTATTACCGCATTCCGAGGAAAGGCAGAAAAGTAAAACAAACATTCAAGGTCAACTGACTCTTATAAGCAAGCAAAGTCCAAGTTGCCTATCTTATACCCCATTCACACCAGCAAAACATGTTTTGTTAAACTGGTTTTCATTGAATGAAAATTATAAACAGAGAACTGAAAAACTTGATTTTCCATTGGATTCAAGTACTTGCTAACTTGCATTTCCAATGTGCTACATTCAAGTCAAAAATATTCGGTTAAATAGTTTCTATGAAGAAAAAAAAAATTAAACTGTGTTTAACAAAACAACTTTTAAACATGTTTAAGCTTTGGTGTGAATGGGGCAATAGTCTAAGGTTTCTACGCTTACATTGATTGGGACGTATTTAGAAAATAACTTTGAAGTAGTAAAAATCTCAAGCAAAAAAGCTTTATTGTTTCGTAATAAAATTCAATGAAATTCAGTGGCTCTAAATCCCAAGGATGTTTGGCTATGATTATACGGGACTTCCGCAAGCGTCACCACTCATGTGATGGAAAGGGAAAGACCCGGATGCAACGTGATCAATTTAAATTTACAGGAAATTGAGCTATCAAGAATTGACATGTTCCGGTGGATTTCTCAGTTGACTATAAATGTTTGCTTTTGCCAAACTAGGAAGAAACTAGGGCTATTTCCATATTTCCCATTCGTTCTCAGTGCGCGTGACATCTCAAGAACTTCGAGACGATTCTGTCGGCTCAAACAGAACGGGTTAAGTAAAAAAAATATTTACCACAGTGAGATCTATCAGCTTTGCGACGGATTATCGGGGCCAAGGATAACGTGAATCGCTGATCACTAGAACCATCCGTTTGAAGGTGAATAGCAGTGTTGTGTTGATCTGCTCAACAGCTCCTGGCATTTGCGATGTCTGAAGGTAATTCAATTTGGCAAATACTGAGATTTTTTTACCGTTCTCGCGTGCTCAGAACGCTATCTATTAACGTATTTGTGGAGCGGCTTGAATTGCTCTCATTGTATATACGTTGTGTAAATTCAGGCATTAATCTCTCGGCAATATTGGCAAGAACTCCACAAGACTCCCAACATTTTTAAAGGCGAAGCAAATGAAAGTAAAAATACTCCATAACACGGTTCGGATTTAATGAACAAGCTGACGGAAGATTCTGAGCCAACGAGGCTAAATCGCTTTTCATTTTTAGACCAGTTATCAAAGAAACCTTTCTGATTTGCAATCGAAGGAAATCTTGTTTCTGAACTTAGCTTTTCAATTAGGAATTTGTCGAACAGAAGTGGAATCGAAAGTACTTTAGGAAGAGGAGGAGGGATGAATCCTTCTTCTCTTAACCCTTTACCTCCCATGAGTGATCAAGAGAGAATTTCTCCTTACAATATCAATACAATACCAAGCATAGAAGTGACGAGAATAAAGTAAAATATCAATTCGGAGATTATTAGTTGATCCAATACCAAATCTCCGAATTGACATCATAACAATTGTATATCAGACAGTTAAGAGAACTACTAATGAGATCTTGGGAGTTAAAGGGTGAAACATGATATATATTTCATGATTTCAACCTTAATGGACTTCTTTTGAACTTCAATTGCTAGATTAATTGATAAAAGCATCGATTACAAAGATAGTGGTCCGTCTTTCCACATAATTTTCTTTCCTGAGATAGTTATATATGTCCCCCAGTAACTAACCGCTGTGAGGCTAAAATGCGTATCTGCATTCAAATCATAAACAAGAGTGGACTGGGTGATCATCACACTTTGATGACGTTTAGATAAGCTGATTGCCTTTATCCAAATAGGCATTTTACTTTGATAAACCCCAACATTTTCGAGATATACCTTATGATTAAATGAACGTTGCCTTTGAATCAAAGACCTAGTAACGTTTTCTCAAGATTCTGGGGTCTTGTATGACCGGTGCAACCTTGCTACTCTTGTCATTACTAGCTCATACCAGTCTGTAAACAAGAAAATATGGAAGAGACCGGCAATACCGATTCGACCAGATGATGATATTGTACCCAGTCAATCCGGTAAATCAGCTCATTGACAATATCGGTCAAAATTCATTCTGGAATAGAAGATTCTAATAATTTTGGTATCAAAATAACATAAAATGATTCAATCGAAATTAATAAGTATCAGATAGTATATTGACGAAATTTACCTTCAGTTTCCATACTGTATCACGAGGATTCATTCAAGCTGATGACATCGAAGCTGGTGCAATATTAAGATGAAAACAATTCCTATAATTTTTGTTTCTAAAATTAAATCACTTTCCGCTTAGGTTAGCATTCATGTGACTTGCAAGAGGTTATAGGTGCAGTCACAAATTCTATGAGGAACATGGTTTAAGTGTCATCATTGTCTATACTTGTCTACCATTGTTTCTTATTTTCTATCAGCTGATTTGTTTATCTTTTGCTTTTCCCTGTTCCAGAGTGGACAATTTGTTAAATAGCTTCGTTAACCAAACAAAAATATCTTGATTTTTCTGCGCTACTGAATTAAAACCAAGGTACTTCCGCTCGCCTGCAGAGCGCGTGACATCCTAATTATAGGAGCTAAGAAGTGATTCCAGTTAGACAGGGCAACTCGAACGATGGATAAAAGCTTGACCTGACAGCTATTGGAAAAGGCAAAGCATTCAGCATCGTCACCTTCTTCCAAATTATGAAAATCATTTCTAAACGCTAGTTTGATATAAAAAAGTTTCAGGAGACAAGGCACGTGAAGTCGTGATGTATTTCGGAGGTAAATATTGAATTAATCATTCATATTCGGTTAACTTGAATGCCTTATTCCTGTAGAATATGAGAAATCTACCTCAGAAACTGCATATTTGCTTATATTTATGTTATAATTGTCAAAACGTTTTAAATCCCTTTCTTAAGTAGAAACAGGTGAGCTTTATGAGCCCGTTAAGTTACTTGGACCTTCGAGAAACGGGCTCCAGGCCACGGTCATTACGATAATATCTTTCTATGGCTGGACGTTAAATTTAGAAATTCTTCTATAATACTTTAAATTTGTAATTGAGGTGTATGCTGTGTTGCTCATTTCGCTTTCGTTAATATTGTTGTTCTTGTGAATCGATCCAAACGTAGAGCCAATCCCTTAAATAACAAAGAAATCATAGCCTAGGCTTAGGAAGAGTCGGAATCATGAATTAGTAGCTAAGAGTGCTGATATAAAGAGCAGAAGCTAGATTCTCAAGTTGACCTCAGTGATACAAAATTTAACCAAACAATCAACTCTCTCCCTTAATTTTTCTTCCTAATAAAAATAATTTCGCTTGTCATTTTTAGGCCAATTATCAAAGAAACCGTTCTGATTTGCAATCGAAGGAAATCTTATTTCTGAACTTAGCTTTTTAATTAGGAATTTGTCGAACAGAAGTAGAATGGACAGTACTTTAGGAAGAGGAGGAAGGATGAACCATGCTTCTCTTAAACATTATATATATTTCCAGATTTCAACCTTGATGGACTTCTTTTGAACTTCAATTGCTAGATTGATAAAAGCATAGATTACAAAGATAGTGGTCACTTTGTTCAATCCGTCTTTCCACATGATTGTCTTTACTGAGATAATTATATATGTCACCTAGCTAGCCACTGTGAGACTAAAATGCGTATCTGCATTTAAATCATAAACAAGAATGGACTGGGTGATCATAGTGGAACAAACCGAAAACTAATATACTCACCATTCCTTGAAGCAAAAAAAATGGAAATATATGAGAGGATGGTTATTTTTTACCTTGGTCTGCAAAGGTCAGCACATTATGTTGCTATGATACCCTATTAATTGAAAAAATAATAACTTCACTTCAACATCTGTCCGTTACAGGCGTCAATTTCTTACACTGTTTTCGATTCACCGCTGACCTGTATACATTCCCTTGTTCCACTTTGAACTGAGCTCATGCTGCTTACTAACCTATGTCATCTATGTCATTCACAGCTCTGAATAGAAGTGTATGTTATTTACCGGACGAAATCACCCCACTTAAGGCAGTAGGCCTCGTGTCTCTCTCGGTGGTAACAGTGGTGTTAAACTCCTTGGTAATAATAACAATCTGGAAGGATCCATTCAAGGAACTCAAAGGAACAGCTAACTATCTCATATTAAACCTGGCTGTTTGTGATCTTCTTGTGGGCTTTCCAGCCGAGTTGCTTTTCGCTCTTCTGCTCTGGTTTCCCGGCCGTGTTATTATTGTCTTTTCCGCATACGTTGCAATATATCTTGATTTTTATGCTTCGTTTCTTACAATACTGGGCTTGGCAGTCGAGAGACTCCTCGTCATATCATCACCATCGTGGAGTGCGGATTATCAAACCACCACTTATCGCACCGTTGGATTCCTTCCTATTTGGATATTTGCTGGACTGCTAGCCTTCCTTCCTGTGTTCGGTGCAGATTCGTGTCACAAATACAGAATGTTTATTACTGATGCAGTCGGACTTCCTGTATTGATCCTGTTATTTGCCTGTTACACACGAATCTTCTTACTGGTCAGAAAAGAGATTAATCGAGATTTGAGGACAATCGACCAGAGAGGAGAACTACAACCCCTCACAATAAATGGCCAATGGAGAGAAAGACTTAAAAGGAGAGAAAGACAGGTGGCTTGTTCTGTATTCATCATTGTTGGAATATTTTGCTTCTGTTGGCTTCCAGAATTAGTGCTGACAAATATCATTGAAATCTGTAGAGACTGCATTCCAGATAAATTTCATTTGATATTCCATCTTTTCATATTGGCACATCCGCTGGCCAATCCTATTGCTTACTCATTGCATACACCGAAATTTCGACGGGCTCTCAAAAAAATTTTCAATCGAAAGGCCCCACTATAAACCACTTGTGTGCCTGTTTTTAAATGTTCCTTAACATTTTTATTATTTTCATTATGACTACTCAATCCTTAAATACGTAAGGAAAAACTGTTAGGGGCTTAATAAAAAAAAATGTTTATCTATTTTACAACATATGCTTTTAATTTCAATTTCCAGTGATGTTGAAAAGCAGTTTAAGTGGCTGCACTGGAGCCAAGTGGCTCGCGCAGCCGAAGCTTTTCCCTATTTTTGTAGCATGAAGCGACTAGGAGTATTACTACTCCCCCCTGAATGGGATGCCAGTCTGGTGCTAATACTGCTACTACTGCTGCCACTGAAATATTATTACTACTCAAGGGCGTAGCTGGGAGGGGGGGATCCTTCGTAAGCCTCTTTTGGTCATATTACGTACAACAGTGCGTCGAGGTCGACATGACTATCTGGTGAGTACCCTCGATCTGACGTCCCTGCTGTCAAAATTGTTACTACACGAGCTACTAAAAGGAATGTATCTAGAGCCCATGTAAATTTTTTTTGTTCAAAAGGGAACCGCACTTCGCTTTGTGGACCATATACGTTACTTAACCATCTAACTTGATTTATTTCAATTGCGATGCTTCTAGCCCGTAGAGCAGGTGAAACTTTGGCGAGCGAGTGCTCAGTATTTTCTCAGCGACAATAACGGCCGCCATCTCTGATTTTAATGGCAGAGGCAAGCTGGAGAGAGAAAGAAATTTGTTCCAAGGGGGTGAGCGATGGTCAAAAATAAGGAGAGGGGTTGGGGTTGGGGAGTAAATTCTCTTTTCCCTTATCGCCCCTTCCCCCACCCGGTTAAAGTTAATTCGCCCCTATAGGACGCCTGCACTGCAGGCTACGACGCCTCGAACTGGCCCAGCTTTTTTCAAACTTTGATGACCTTTAGATAAGCTGATTGCCTTTATCCAAATAGGCATTTTACTTTGATAAACCCCAACATTTTCGAGATATACCTTATGATTAAATGAACGTGGCCTTTGAATCAAAGACCTAGTAACGTTTTCTCAAGATTCTGGGGTCTTGTATGACCGGTGCAACCTTGCTACTCTTGTCATTACTAGCTCACACCAGTCTGTAAACAAGAAAATATGAAGGAGACCGGCAAGACCGATTCGACCAGATGATAATATTATACCCAGTCAATCCGATAAATCAGCTCATAGACAATATCGGTCAAAATTCATTCTGGAATAGAAGATTCTTATAATTTTGGTATCGAAATAACATAAAATGATTCAATCGAAATTAATAAGTATCAGTCATTGACAAAATTTACCTTCAGTTTCCACGAGGATTCATTCAAGCCGTATGATGATATCGAAGCTGGTGCAATATAAAGATGAAAACAGTTCCTATAGTTTTTGTTTCTAAAATTAAATCACTTTCCGCTTAGGTTAGCATTCATGTGACTTGCAAGAGATTATAGGTGCAGTCACAAATTCTATGCGGAACATGGTTTAAGTGTCATCAATATCTATACTTGTTTACCATTGTTTCGTATTTTCTATCGGCTGATTTGTTTCTCTTCTGCTTTTTCCCTGTTCCAGAGTTGACAATTTGTTAAATAGCTTCGTTAACCAAACAAAAATATCTTGATTTTTCTGCGCTACCGAATTCAATCCAAGGTACTAGTTCCGCTCGCATGCGGAGCGCGTGACATTCTAAGAGGCGTGAGGTGATTCGAACGCGCAGGTTCCAGTTAAACAGAGCAACTCGAACGATAGATGAAGGCTTAACCTGACAGCCAATGGAAAAGACAAAGTATTCAGCATCGTCACCTGCTTTCAAATTATGAAAATCATTTCTTGACACGAAAGAGTTTCAGGAGATAAGGCACCTAAGGTCGTGATGGATTTTGGAGGTAAATATTGAATGGATCATTCATATTCGGTTAACTTGAATGCCGTATTCCTGTAGAATATGAGAAATCTACCTCGGAAATTGCATATTTGTTTACATTTATGTTATAATTGTCAAAACGTTCTAAATCCCCTTCTTAAGTAGAAACAGGAGAGCTTTACGGGTCCGTTAATTTACTTGGACCTTCGAGAAACGGGCTCCAGGCCACGGTCATTACGATAATATCTTTCTATAGCTGGACGTTAAATTTAGAAATTCTTCTATATTACTTTTGTAATTGAAGTGTATGCTATGTAGCTGATTTCGTTTTGGCAATGGTTAATTAATGTTGTTGTTCTTGTGAATCGATCCAAACGTAGAGCCAATCCCTTAGATAACAAAGAAATCATAGCCTAAGTTTAGGAAGTGTCGAAATCATGAATTAGAAGCAAAGAGTGCTGATATAAAGAGCGGAAGCCAGATTCTCAAGTTGACCTCAGTGATACAAAATTTAACCAAACAATCAATTTTCTCCCTTAATTTTTTCTCTCAATAAAAATAATTTATTTAGAGTGCAATCTAAGAAGGATGCTTATCGTCGCGAGACACACCGACATGTCAAAGCGATGGCGCTTCTGATGAAACCGAAACTTGTTTTTTTGCTTAATATCATCACTTCTGGTCAGCTAAACACGTGCGCAATGTCACACAAGGAACAAATCCAACTTGAGTATTTCCTTTAGTCTTAAAAGACCATGTTCGCAAATAAATTTATACTACCACCAAAACGCTATCCGTCTGTGTAGAGCAAAAAAAAATCTGCTTTATGAATTTCTGTTCTTAAATCTATCTTTTTTTCGAAGCTACACAGCTTAATATGACCGAACGTGCGCGATTAAGACTCGCGCGTTTAGTGATTTAAGGAAGTGAGAGCGATGAAGGCCGTCGCACGCAAAGGAGGAGTCACGCATGGGAGACTCGTTTTGAACAGGCGATGTCGTTGAGCGTTTACAACGCAGATCACTATATTTGTTCCCGCTTAATTCTTTCATTTATATATTTAGTTCTTCTTGGTTTTTAAAGCTTAAATTATTTGGCTTCAACAGACTGGTATCACTTACCAGTTTATAAATTCGTTAGCCAGGTACCGTTCATTATTTATTGCCTGGGGAGGGGGGGGGAGGTCGGAGGATTTTAATTTTGTCATTACAAAATTTACCAGATCCCCTATGAGGCTCTATGATGCTCATATGATCCTCTCATATGATCCTCTCCCCCCCCTCCCCTCCCCCCACCTTCATTTGCCGCTAATTGTCAGTCATTTTTCTATGCAATACTCTGTTACTGAACTCTATTTCCTTGGGTATTGTAAATAGCATCGACAACTGATCAAAAATATCACCGAGCCGACGAGAGTTCCGAGTAGAGACAAGTGACCAATTCCCTAGTGCACTAAATATTGCTTCCTGAATAATCAAACAGTACAATGCATCTTTGTTTTGTTTGATTGTCTCTGTTTTTATGCAAGACCTTGCCGAACAACTGTTAAATATACATGGAAGCACTAATCTTACGGCTGACTAGTCTTCATTTTCAAACGTAATTAGAAATAATCTTTCGCACGAATCTAAGTGGCCCATCACATTCGGGGGGGAGGGAGGGCATCATTTACAACTCATCCCAGTTTCCATAAAAAAAAAGATGCTGCTGTGTAACCCCTAAGTCTCTCCCCTTGGTCTCACTGATAGTTAATCCGAGCCCACTTTCAAAGTGTAAAGATGCACTGGGGCAGTCATGTGTCAAACTGCACTGACTGTTTTTTCTACTCTGTCTTCAAGCTAATGAATAATATATTTTTCCTCAATAGACCCAGTGACTCTGGCTCAGACAGCATTCCTCGTTTCCGTCTCGGTGTTGACCGTGGCTTTGAATTCTCTAGTGATAATGACAATCTGGAAAGATCCATTCAAGCAGCTTAAAGGAACAGCAAACTATCTCATATTAAATCTGGCTGTTTGTGATCTACTTATGGGTTTTCCAACCGAGTTACTCTTTGCTATTTTTCACTGGTTTCCTGGTAATAAGAGTGTCATCAAAGCAGGGTACATCACGATGTATTTTGCTATTTGTGCCTCATTTCTTACAATCCTGGGCCTCGCTGTTGAAAGACTTATTGTCATATCATCCGCTAAGAGTGACGATAACTCGACAACGACGAGTTATTGCACTGTAGGCATTATGTCCATCTGGCTTTTCGCTGCGCTAACAGCCTCTCTTCCTATGCTCGGATGGGACTCATTTGACAGTTATAGGCTTTTTATCGCTGATGCTATCGGAGTTCCTGTATTGATCCTGTTATTTGCTTGTTACACACGGATCTTTCTGCTGATCAGAAAACAGCTGCATCGATATTTTGCAACAGGCGATCAAAGAAGAGAGCTCCAACCCTTAACACCAAAAAGTCAAAGAATGGAAAGACTTAAAAGGAGGGAAAGAGGCGTAGCTCTCTCTGTATTCATCCTTACTGGCTTGGTTACCATATGTTGGAGTCCGCTTTTCATTGTGGAAAACATCAGACAGTGTTGTGATCACGACGATTGTATTCCTAAAAAACTTGACGTAATATTCCAAAGCTTGATATTTGTGCATCCGCTGGCCAATCCTATCGCTTACGCTCTGCGTACGGCGAAGTTTCGACGCGCACTCAAAATAATTTTCAGGCGTAGTGGTAACAATTAATCGTTTAGCCTGAACGACTAATTGTTATCGGGTTACCTTCTACGTTTGTCTTTTGTCGGACTCACTATATTTCCAAAGCCTTCAACGCGGAAAATTCTGTTGTGTGTCTTCCAACTGCTGAAGGTTTGCCGACGTCAATATCGATATTCAGCTTACCAAAACTTTTCACACTGATGCTTCCACGGTTTCGTAAGATAGTTTTATGTTTCCGGAGACCACCGTAAGAAACACAAACATTTACGTATTTAATTGCATTAAAACTGAATTTTCAAACTCTTGAAAATTTCTCCCGTAAAATAGGTCGATGGAACCTTTCACTATATTTCCTTAAGTACAAGGGAATTTTATGGCAAAATACAAAAAAAAATCGATTTTTTGTGAGTGCCCATTGACTCTCGATATCCTCAGAAATACACTCTAAAGCCCCCAAGAGATTTTAACTTAGCTCACCACTGACAATATATCCCAGTTGTATCCAATCGCCTTGAAATGAGCAATCTTCCACAGTAGCTCTCTCTCAGCATAGCTTCACAGATAGTCGGTACGTCACTTTCGATTAAAACAGCAACAACTACTACACGACTGAGTTCATAAATTATATACATTTACAAAGTGTTCTCGAACAATCCGGAAGCATACAACTCAACTATTTTTGTGGTGTTGCATCATAACTACATATAACCGAATACAATATGTTTCCATAGTATGACAATGGGCAGTCGTGTAACATGTCAACATGAATAGGCTTTCTAGAAATTTCCAGAAACTTATTTTTACAGTCGTTATCCATAACACATTTCATTCAACAACTAAGGCTATGGTATGTCAGAACGTTAATAACTTAAAACCAGTCGTTTAGTGATGATAAAGCGTTTTTTAGGGGTTTCCTGCGCCATTACTAGCTGATGGTAATCGGTCGGCGCAGGTCTTCGCAAAGTTATAGACCATCTCTTTAACTCGCCATCGATAACCTGGAATAATAAATGTGTATAATATGGGATCTAGAGCGCATTTTGATACGTATAGGATTAGTAACAATTCTTGAAAAAAAAGTGAAGTTCGCACTCCGTCGCTGAAGTATTCAACAACGCGAGTGACAGAAAATGGTAGATAGCACAACAAAAATGTTCCAACTAGAAGAAAAATGTTCTTTGCAAAGGAAAACTCCCGTTTTCGAGCCAATTTAAACGCATCTCCTGATTGAACAAGCGGTTGTCGGACTTCATTGGCGAGTAGAATCTTGTTGAATTTTCGGATGATTATGAACATGCGCACATACAAAACGAAGATGACAACCAGTTCAAACTGAGGAAGGATAAAGAAAATTAGCCGTATTGCCTTTGTGTGAAAAGGAAAGGAAATGAGTAGGGCGTTAACTAATCCATCAAGCCAAATAAGAAAAATGTATAATTTCAAAGCCATTCCACCAAACAGCTTTTCTCTTCGTAGAGGCATCTCTAAGGCCACATATCTCTCCACTGTAAGAAAGAACAAAGTGCATCTTGAAGCGATAGCTGCTATGACCAACACTGATCTAGTTGTGACACACAACGTACTTGGTGAGTCGCTCATTAACATCATGCTTACTCCACCATCTACCCAATGAAGGCTTATCCAAAGAGGTTCACCTACAAGGCCCATCATCAGGTCAGCGATAGCAAGGTTCAACACAAGGCTGTTGGAAACGATCCGTAATTCAGTGCGCGGTTTCTTATACAAAGTCACAATCACCAGAAGGTTCACTACTATAGTTATAATGGAAATTATAGCTATCACAAGTGGAAAAAGTCCATTGAATTTTTCTTCCTGATTCGTCGGGGGAAGGGTTTCATTGTCCTCTGCCATCCTACTTTGTTGATGTTGGATTTGCTTGATGAGAAAAATCAACCAAGTAGAACTGTCATTGATGAAGATAATTTAAAAAAACTTAATGAATAGGCAGTCATCATTTATCGCCGGTGGGGGGAGGATTTGATCGTGTCACAAAGAAATTTACCCGATCCAACCCACAAGGCTTTGCAGTATTCCGATAATTTCGTCTAACCCCCCCCCCCACCCCCATTTTAGGTGATCATGGAAAAAAAATCAATCTTAATCTCGCTCCAACACGAATTTAAAGAGTTGAAATTAAGCAGAACGAAAAGGTATACGAAAACTGAGCCTTTTTAGATGAAACTTAAGCTTAAAATACATATGTTCTACATCTTATCAATGCAATATGAATAATTTACCTTATCAGAGCCTGCGTTCCCAGATTCCAAAAATAAGGAAGAGGGGAAAGGAAAGGGAATAATTGGGATAAAAGAAAAGCGCAATTTTCTTTGGTCTCTCCCTCAAAGCTCCCCTTCGACCCTTTAACCCCTGAGAGTGACCTCACATCTAAACTCTCCTCACATGGTCACTCCTGGATCAAACATTAAGGTCATGAGAATAAAGAAAATGATCAACGATCAAAGAAGTTCTTGATTGTTAAACAAATTCTCTTATCAGTTCCTTAGGAAATGTATACAGAACAGTTTGGAGAATATGCATTTGGATGTTAGGGTGGAAAGAGTTAATTACCATGGGATCCCGCAAAAATCCTCCCACCCTCTAGAAGAATATTCTAGGAATATCGTCAAGCAACTGACGGTTCAATCTAATGCAATCGTAATTCTGGTATCAGGCGAGGAAAGCAAGGGAATTAACTTTTTTTTATTTGTAATGGATGAAGGACCGAGTGAAATCCAATTCGGTCTGTAATCATATGAGTGATTAACAAAATCGGATGACCGCGAAGCGTGAGTCCGATTTGATAATCACTAGCATGATTACAGACAGAATTGGAAGACACGAAGTCCTGTTACCAATTAATCAAAACGATGACAAAATTTGAAAAAGAAACTGAACGTCGGTTATACGTTTTCATTAAAAAAACAACAGTTAACACAGCGAAATGCGAGACAACAGCGCACGCACATGACGCGTTCAATTACACATGCATGACGTGTGAACTGTCCCTTTAACTGTCCTATAACACTGTCCAATTACAAGCATGACGCATGTCCTACTAATGCTCAAATCGAGCTGATGATAACCAATCACTTTCGAGAATTTTGTTATAAGTTTTGAATAAACATTGAAATGTCGATCGCTTTCCCGGTTATTTAAGCATTCAGACCCTAAAACGACCTTCTCCACTGAAGGCCTATGTTTGCACGTGCCTGACTGACACAACGTTCGGTTTGTTACGGGAGATTAGAAACAAACAAACAATGTTATCTATCAGATTTTAAGACGCCTTCTGATTGTCACGAGACACGTCAACTGTCGACAGTTATGTAACGAGCGGAATTGTACAACATTTTTTTGTTCTTACTCACCACTTCTAAGAGGACAGATAAAACAAAGAACTTTTTTACTTTACCGTATTTTGATTCATTACTGAACAGAACCACGGCAGCATCGAATATCGATTTGATATTATTAGTAATCATTTGAAACTGTTAAGTGAGACTGGTTCCCGTTACCGCGCAACGGAAGTTACGATTTGTAGCTCTGAGCCGTTTTGGTTTAAAAAAAGGACTCTTTGTGATTAGTCTCCACTCCACGCATAATTCTCTTTAAAAATCAACTCACTCCTCCTTAGGACGCTGTATGAGCCAAAAGCTTATAACACTGATTTCAACAATATTTCGCATTCCAAAAATTTTTGACGACACATGTAAACAAAGCATCTAAGATTCGGGCATAATATTTTGACTTGCTTATATCGGCGAAAATGTTTAGAAAGTAGACCCTTTGTTTAGCAGACAAACGCTTACAGATACCACGATGTTTTGATTATAACACTAGTATGAATAAAAAACAAATGAATGAATAATGAAATTAACGTTTTTCCGCTGAAGAATTGGTTTGAAAGAGATTCTACCCAAGGCTCCTTATGGCAGACATCACAGATTATCTCACAAGCATCAATTCAAAATTCACACCACACTTACTTGAGCTGTAAAACATCAGAAACTACACGTAATACAAAGAAAAGGGCAACGCATAAACGGTCATTTCAACTTCCTTTTTAACTAATTTAAAGAAATTGAAGTTGCCATGTCTCGTCCATAAGCACACTTTAAGAACGTGACTGGTACTTATGACTTAAAAGTAAACATGAGCCCAATTGGTTAATTGACGCCGCGGCTCACGAGGAATGTCTTGTGTTGCACTCAACAAGCATGCTATTTTTTTTACCGATATATTAAATGTTCTATTTTTCCATCGTTTCTAAGTTTTTGTAAGACTAATTATTAAAGGACCGGTGTCACGTTTGGGCATGTGTATAGAAACAAATCAAATTTAAGAATTATTTGAATCGTCTGCCATCTTAGATTGCGAACTTCATGCAAATCAAAACTGACTAGAACAACCCTGTTTAGTGATCGACCAAGTTCCCTCTCACTATATCTTGAAAAAGTGAACTTCTATTTTCGGGTAATTTTAATTTATGGACCCTGAAGTCGATCAAATTCTATACAGCAAAAAAATAAAAAACTCCTCACAGTGTTTTACGGAGGGGTTTCATCCCAAATACCCAGCAGAAGCGATGCGATTTCCTATACTAATGTCTTCAATGTAGAAGCAAGATGCAATCCGATCGAATGTCGTAAAGCCAAAATAAAAGTCAGATTCCCAACAGCTAATAAAAATAAACAGAAATATCTAAAGACGTCAGTAAGAGCTCAAGGAAAAAACAACAATGCAGCCGTAACCCAGACAACACGAGTGAGCAAAATTTCAATTGGCTCTAGTTTCAGTTGCATCTGATTGGTTGAAAGGTGGTGCGGGTTTTCTGGATCAGTTGCAGAGCGCATTATAATTGAATTAATGCAAATCCAGACCGACTTTTCAGATATTGAAAGGCCGGAAAATTTCTTCATTAACCAGTTATGGAAAACCAGAAGCTCACCGGAAAAGAAAGTTAAAAACAAACCAAAAGAAAAGTGGAGTGCGTTTCAAATTGGAGATGAAAAGCAAAGGAAGCAAAGGAGGCAAAGGATATTCGGAGTTTGAGGAACCAATCAGAGAGCACCTTCAACGCTACCTACTGTTTTGTATAATTACACTGATGTGTGCCATCTCCGATTTTTCTAGTGGATAGACGATGTTTTGCGAGAACTTTGAAGCTCTTAAAAGTAGCTATTTTGATGGTCTCTAGAATGGCAGCTTTAATTGCGTTATGGAATAATGAAAGTTGATCTGTCACTGAGCTCTCTTTCCATTGGGTGTCATGGTATCGACAGCTGATCAAAAATATCTCATTGTTCGATCGATAGGAGATATCAGGTTGCTTCACACTTCATCTTGATCACTGTCTTGGGAAATTATAATTCGGCTCTAACGGCTTCGATTGAACCAACTGCCTCTGGTCAGTAATCGTTGAGTGGATCTCTCTTCAAACAATGAACACGCCTTATCTTACCTTTCAGTTTTCACGCCGTTCTACCAAGAAACTCGAATGTTTCGAATCCTGGCAAGTGACCAGAAAAGCCACGTGGGGCTGTTAGTGCATTTGGTTGATACCTAGCGCGCCAAAAAACTCTGCTGATAATTTTTAGAGAAGTCTTTTTTTTCTGGTGCGGAGACTTTACTCGATACCGAAACCTTTGCTCTGACCTATATTTTGTGAAAAGGGGTGCGACGATCCCAAACATAGAATTCACATATTTTGAAACATTGATTAATTTAAGAGATAGTTCAAGCCCTGAAAATTATCTAATAGGGTGTTAATGACAAAACTATATTTGGCCGATCTAATTTGGGTCAAAGAAATTGCGAAGAAAAAAACGAACCTTCTGCCACGCCGATCGATAAAATTATAATTGTTAATACGCCTGCTATTTTTCGAAAACTTTCAAGAGACCCTTGACGACTGAGAGTCAAAAGTCTGGGTTTGAGCGACCAAACGGCAACTTCCCAAACATTACCCACCCCCCCCCCTCGTTGTCGTCAATACTTTCTAAAGACTCCACCCCCCCCCCCCTCCTCCTCCTCAAAACCCCTACAAAGAAAAAAACCAAAAATTTAAAATTTAAGTATAAAACAGTTAAGTTCAGTCCAGTTCACAGTCAGTCCACATTTTTAAACTGGCCTTAATTTCTCAGTTTGTTACGTCTGTGTCCCATATTTGTTTGATTTATCTATTAAATTTCAATGCAAAGTCACAGTACGTTTGATCTTTTCTAAGAAATAATGTTGCAAACCGGAGCAACATTCATTTAAACCACATGGTTTAGATATTTTTTCCAAGTCCAAAACAATCAGATCCGGTTCAGTCTAATCGGCAGTCCAGTCCACTATACAATCCTAATTTTTCAACTGGCCTGGGAGTAAAACCTTACATAACACGAAGCCACGCTTAGAATAACTGGTCATTTCACGTGCTTTGACGAGTCGAGCGGAACAGTTCAACTTGAAGATCAGAGTCCAAGAAGACTGAGGGTTGTCACGAGACAGAGTTCTCTTGTCAAGAGTCGACAACTCTTGAATAATGGAACGATTCGATATTGTCACGAGAGAATTTTTTAATTTCTTAGTTCGATTTTGATGTTAAGCTCTCTGGTAATGAATATTTGGCAACGAACCATCTTCATACTAAATTCCAGCTTAAATCGTACACAACCAAACGTGACATGACAGTTTGTATTTGATTGATTGATATAAGATGCTATGCACAACAGTAAGTGTAAAATGAATTAACCTTTTGCGCAAATTCTCAGTGCGACTCAGTGATGTAAAACGGCTCTCCGACTCGGAAAAAAATGTCTATCGGCCTCTTCCCCCCCCCCTTTTTTTTTTCGTCTCAATAAGGTATTCTTATCACCGATTCAAGAACAAATTAATTCACCCTTTCTTTCCACTTGCTTTGCTTCGCAGTTTCAAAATTATTTCTTGAAGTTACTGATTATAATTTAAACACTGGCTTGGTAATGAAAGCAGAACTTTTAGCTAGTAAAAGGAACATGAAATTTTATCATGGCAGGACAATATTTCTGCCTGCTCCTTTCTTTTGCATTTTCCGTTTCTCTCTCTTTCTCGATCTCATTCTCCATTTTTCTGATTTATTCGAAGCAATACATTTTGACACGCAGACGACACCTCTGCCTCTATAATCAGAGGCAAAATAAAGTCCCAGCAATATTTACCGGCAACCATAGTTATATACTTTTATGAAAATTTCCTTAATAATTTGTTCTGTCAACAATTTTGATAGCTTCATTCTTTGTTTGTTTGTTTCTTCGAGAGCCAACATTTAAAATTCGTGTCTCAGAATGATTACAATACAATAAATCGATAAGAATATATTTGTTGAGTGCAACACACTGACAAGACATTCCTCGTGAGCGTCAAAACCAATTTGAGTCTCATGTTTATCTGTCCCATATACCAGTCATGTTCTAGTAGTGTGCTCATCGATCACAAATTCGACTTCAATTTCTTGTGTGACGTGGAGTCTCCTTTATTTTATAGCTCAAGTAAGTGTGATGTGAATTTTGAATTAATGCTCGTGTAATAACTTTTGTCTGCCATCTGCCACTAAAGACCAGTGCGGAAATTGGTTCTAATCAATAATTTAACGGAAAAAGTATCACTACTTAGTTAATTCATTTAGTTTTGCAAACCTACATGGTTGCAATAACCCAAACACTACGATATCACTGAGCGGTTGTCTGCCGAACGAAATGTCTCACATTGAACATTTAGCCAATAAACAATTTAAAATATTATAGCTCAATCTCTGTTTAAGGGATTAGATTCTTTGCCTACATGTGTTGTCAAAATATTGTTGCGCCATGATACTCAGTTGACTTTGGGCTTGAACAGTGTCCCAAGGAGAACTAAGTGAAGTATGCGTGAAGTGGAGTCCTTTTTTGGCCAAAACAAAATTTTCGAATTGAAACTTCGAATTCCTTTACACGGTAACTGGAATCGATTTTACTTATCAGTTTCAATTGTTAACATGTCTAACATTATCTAAAAGTTATATTTAACCAATGGATATCATGTTGCCGTGGTTCTGTTCAGTAATAGATCAAACGTACGATAAAAGTGAAAAAGTCCTTCGATACACTTTTACTTTGATAGATCCTGAGAAAGAACCAAAATAAATATTGTATAATCCAGATTATTATATAACTCTAGACAGTTGATGTGTCTCGTGACAAGCTGGAGGCATCTTGCACTCTGACGGATAACGTAATAAATATATTTTTTCTGATCGATCTGCCGTGAAAAACCGAACGTTTGCTGAATCAGGCACGTGCAAACGAAACTGAAAAAAGTTTGACGTCTGCTGAGAAGGCAAGTTACCATTTTTGAGTTTGGATTCTTCAGCACCCGAGAACGCGATCTACATTTTTGATTTCTCGTGTTGCATCAAAAAGGTTCTAAAATTCTCGTGCTTTTCACGCCCGATCCCGAGGAACAATGATTACGTAAGATTGAACCATTGGTTGCTTGACGTTTATGACATTTTTGTGTTGTTATAACATGCAGTTCTACTAGTTTATTTGCTCAAGGAACTACTTTTAACTGAACAGGATGGCAGAGAACAATGAAACCCTTCCCTCCGCACCTAAGGAAGGACCTTTTCCACCTGTGATAGCTACAATCTCCATCATAACTGTAATAGGAAACCTTCTGGTGATTGTGACTTTGTGTAAGAAACCGCGCAGTGAACTACGGATTGTTTACAACTACCTTGTTTTGAACCTTGCTACCGCTGACCTGATGGTTGGCCTTGTAGGTGAACCTCTTTGGATAAGCCTTTATTGGGTAGATGATGATGACGGAGTAAGCCTTGTCATGAGTAACCCACCAAGTGCGTTTAATATTACATCTAGATCAGTGTTGGTCATAGCAGCTACCGCCTCAAGATGTACTCTGCTCTTTATTACATTGGAAAGATACGTGGCCTTAGAGATGCCTCTGCGAAGAGAGAAGCTGTTTAGTGGGATAGCTTTAAAGTTCTACATTTTGCTCATTTGGCTATATGCATTAGTTACGACCCTGCTTACTTCCTTTCAT